TCTACGAATACCACAAGCCCATTAAGGTACATCAGTTGAAAGTGCCCGATGGTGAGTTCACTTTCCCCATGATCGACCGTTACAACCGTGTCCGAGATGGGCTAGCGCATGATGCCATTGAAAAGCCTGTCGTTGAATCTCTGAGAAATCAGGATGCGGAAGCAGTCGTTGAACCTCCTGGGGACGGTGAGGCTAAAGTAGAAGTACCCAAAGTTATTGATCCCAAATCAGGTGACCTCGTGGAAATGCCCGAAGGCGACCGTTACTACGACTCCGGTGGAACTCTTGGTAGAAGATACGGAGGGTCTAGGGTTCAAAGAAGCCGGACAGCATTCCTTCTCATATATGGGTTAACTTGTCCAAGAGGCAGAAAGATAAGGCGATAGCGGAGGAAGCAGCGAAGATCGCTAGGGAACATCATGAAGGCGCCGATCGAGCAGGTGGTGGATCGTCAAGTTCAAGGCCTGCTGCACCGCTTGGGGCTTCCCGTGATCGATGGAAAATTAAAGGCAACAAGTTGATACGGTACCATTGTGTCCCTAGGCGAGAGCTGTTCTCCCCTGATATCACCGATTGTCCCGTTCCTACTTCCAGGGTCAAGCCTACCAGAATATTGCAGATCATCCCTGTGGGAACTGAGGACACTGTCGCTGATGAAGATGATTGGACAAACCCACGTAGAAGGAATAAGAAATTACATTTTAGATGGACCGGTAAAACCATCTTCGAGATCCTGCCATTGGGTACTAGCAGTGCTCATTTCGTGGTGGAGCCCTTTCCGACTATGCCAACGATCCCGTGTAACGGTGAACATCGAGAGAAGATTGGTCATGATCGTCAGTTCACACAATCTGAGCTGGAAGTTATTATGGCACTAGTAGCTCGTCCAGTTGGCAAGAAGGAGCTCGCGGAGAATAGTGATGCCCAGAAATCGCTCGACGTTGAGTGGGACAAGCTTATGCAAAAGCGAGCCTGGGATATGGATAACCCACGGGAATGGTCAGAGATCTCGGCGGAAGCCGTCAGACGGTGTCGCAAGGCTCATGTCGGACGTGCTTTCGAAATCTGGGTAGAAAAGGGAAGCGAACTCCCTAAAGGAAATCCCCTGAGGAAATTCAAAGGCCGGACGGTCTTTCAGGGTAACAATGTCCAGGACGAAAGCAGCAATGCCGCCTTATTCTCTGAGCTAGGATCAAGTCCTGCTTCGATGGAGGCTGGCAAGGTGCTGGATGCGTATGGGTCCCAGCCTGGTTTCGCCTGTGAACAGGCCGACGGTAAGCAAGCTTACACTCAGACGACGTTGAAAGGTGCCGAAACTTGGGTTCGATTGCCAAGGGAGCGGTGGGCTAAGTCCTGGGTTAATAAGTTCAAGGATCCGGTCGTTCGGCTTTATCTTGCGCTGTATGGACACCCTGATTCGGGGGGCTTCTGGGAGAAGCATTGTGAGCAGAGACTCAAACAAGTGGGTTTTGATCTTCTGTTTCCTTCTTCATGGCCTTCGGTTTTCTTCCATCCTAAGCTTCGCCTACTATTAGCTGTCTATGTTGATGATTTCAAGATGGCTGGACCTGCCGAGAACATGCAGGAAGGGTGGAAGCTGATCGGGTCCAAGATTGACATGGACAGCCCGACTCCACTTGGAAGATACCTGGGGTGTGAACATGTTGAGAAGAAGAAAGTTCAACTGGGAACAGCTGACCATCCCTTTGCCCACATCTTCGACAAAAGCATTCCTGACCCTGCAGCCAAACCGTCGGTCCCGGCTACATCCCAGGATTACACGGAGTACTATCCTGATGAAGGTGTCATTGTGCGCCATCATATGCAGCCTCGCAAAGCTAAGTATGCTGTTAGCGCTGCGGAAGCAGACGTCCTGAACATCGGCGATCTACGATTGACCGAACGTCAGCTTCTTGGAAGTACTTCTCCAGAAGAACAATGGGATGATGGTTTCCGGGGGGGCAAGGCTTCAGGACTTTGGACGGGAACCACTTATCTGTTTGATCGTGGTCTTGACAAGCATCATGCCGTGGCTGCTGTTAAATGCATTCGTGACAAGAACACTGCAAAGAAGGAAGCTAGAAAACAGGCTTTCTATGACATCAGCCAGCTATCTGACGGCAAGGGATGCATGAATAAACCCGTCAGCATCATCGAGTATGACATGAAATCATTTCTTGAACAAGCTGTACAAAAGTACAAGGACCTTGCTGGCCCCAAGTACCACACCCTTAAGTCAGCCTCCACTCCGTTCGTCGACGAGAAGATCGCGAGGCCCATCGACGATGAGGCCGAGGCAAAGTGTGAGTTGGCGCCTATCGCTAGCCGAGTTCTGATGAAGCTTTTCTTTGCTGCCAGGATGGCTCGTTAAGATTTACTTCGGGCTGTCCAGGGATTGGCTAGCAGAGTAACCAAGTGGTCTGCTGAATGCGATCGGGCTCTTCGCCGTTTGATGTGTTATGTCAATGCCACTCTTGACTTGAAGTTGAGGGGATTCATCGGTGACCCGTTTGACCAGTGCAAGATTAGGTTGTTTGCGGATGCAGATCATGCTGGTGAACATGATAACAAGAGCACATCAGGATGCTTCGAAGCTTTGGTAGGGCCCAGCACGTACTTTCCTTTGGCGGCTTACAGCAAGAAGCAAACCTCAATTTCGATCAGTTCTACCGAGTCCGAGGTCGTTTGCGCAAACATAGCTTTGAGGACTGTTGGTTTGCCATCCTCCGCTTTATGGAGTGTGCTCCTGAAGGGGGGTTCAGACGCATCAGAGCCGTGCGCACCCCGGAAGGGAGATGCCTGTGCCTGTTTGGCCAAATTTCCAGATCAGGATGTAGCTTCTCAGGTGCCAAAGACCGGTAGACATGAACTTATTGATTGTCGAGTAGCTGTTCTTTCAGGCGGTGATAGCATACCTGAACCCGTTGAGCTTTCATCCCATCCTCTTCGAGATGTGTGGTTGCTCCGGGGGGACAAATGGTCCAGAACAGAAGAAGCTGTTGCTTGGGAAGAGCTCGAGGATGCCTCCTACATGGTTCCGAAGGATGCTAAAGCCATTCTGTGCCTGTACCGGAAGTCATCATTGGAGTATCGTCGCTCTGCGGAAGCAGAAGCCGAATTGAATTATGAGGCTTACAAGCTCCGTCATGGACCTGGCGACTTCGAGTACACCGATGATGCAAAGATCAGATCCGAACATTCATTGATCATGCCCGCGCCACATTGCATGCAACCTGTGATGTTGGAAGATAACCAGGCCACTATTAGGATCATGGAGTCCGGGAGATCACCAGCATTTAGGCACACTGTTAAAACCCAAAGAATCAATCTCGGATGGGTATCGGAACAGTTCAGGAGGAAACACTATGACCTCGCGTACATTAGTACCTTGTTGCAGTCTGCCGACATATTGACTAAGCCATTTACCAACATTGACAAATGGAAGAGAGCGATTCTCCTCATTGGCCATGTCTATGTCAAACCATCGAGGCCTGCTTCGCCGATCGTCTTGCCTGACAACCTCGAGAAGAGGATCGAGCCCGAGAACAACGGGGTTCGGGACATGATCCGTCGATAATTGTAGCAGTAAACCATCTCTTGTTCGAGTGACTCACATGGACCTTCACAACACTCAGACGAGTAGGGACTTGCTCAAGGTCGTGAAAGGCTATGCCAAGGCAAATGTTCCGATCATCGTTTGGGTTGACCTGCGCTTTGCGGGGGGTCCTGATGACCGCAAACACTTCGGCAAGCTATGGTCCTCTTTCGGCAACTTAAGCACCGGATTGGACAGGAATAAATGTTGTTATGTGTTGATTGCTCCTTGGGACCACTTCTCATGGAAGATGGATCGAGTTATCAAATGGTGTTCCAGTCATGAGTGTACGAGTTTCGAGATCCTTGATGACGAAAGATCAGGCAATTTAGGTCATTGGAGATTGCATACTTCCTACAAGAAGTTGCCAATTGAAGTGATGAACAATTTTCATGGCTGTAAACTCAAGAACATTTTCGAGCCACAATTTCCTGCACGACAAGCTGCTGTTGCGGTACAAGCTATTTTGAGTGAAGACTTCCTAGAAAGCACAGCAGTCATGGCATCCCCCTCCCTGCCTTTGATCTCGATCAAGGAGCGTCGCCGCCGCATCGAGGCTTTCCGCAGGGCTCTTAAAGACCCTGATTGAAGCGATGGCCTTTGAAGAACCTGCGTATTTCAAAGACGCATACGGGACCATCAAGGAGGCGTACCAGTACAAGCTGGTGGAGCCTACGGAGTCTGATCCGCCAGAGGCCCTCTTTCTCGGCGAGTGGATTGGTCTGCGGAAGCAGTACCCGTACGCAGGATTCCAATTCCCTCTCCTGTACGAGATGTGGCACCGCCACCTTAACAGCCCAGCTCATCAGGGAATGCCGGTTGAGGGCTTTGAGTCCCATGGTGATTCCCTCCTGACGGAGTGGACTGAACTTGTGAAGTCCTACCTCCGTGATCTGGCTTATGTGGGGCATGCCACAAATGCAGAGAGGGCGCTCAAGGCAACGGAGCCGTTTGATGTGTGCCATCGGGCATACGTGCTATCGCAGGAGACTCTTGGGTATCGTGAGTTGATGCCGGCAGCAACTGCGTTGCTTCACACGGTTTACACGCCTGCCCTGCGCCGCATTGAGCACCAGGAATGCCCAGCTCCTACTTCATCATTGGGGGCGACAGTTCCTTGGCCTTGGTAACGAGAGATGGCGGTCGCGTCCAAATGAAAGGGACGATGGAACCGTCACTCCGGGAGGAGATGACCAAGGACATCCGCATGGATGGGTGCTCAGTCGTTATGCGCTGGGGAAAGGGGCTGGGAGATATCGTGTGGCACGTGGAGCAAGAGCTCAACCGAGTCCAGAAGTGGATGAAGGGGCAGGAACCGCTCGCACCGGAAGGTGTCGACATTATCATCCAGTGGGGTGGTAATGACGTCTATGGCGAGTATGGTTACAAGGGCTTTTCCTTCCACATGCGCAATGCCTGGGTTCGTGTTGACGATGCGTTGCATGACACGCTTTCCAGTTGGGACACAAAGGCACTCAAGGCTGTCGAAGACGCGAAAGATGCCTTGGTTCGCCTCTCATCCCGGAAAGGAGTGTCCTCAGTGACGCTTGTTGCTGGCCCCCACAACAGGGAATTCTATGGTCTGCCCGACCCGAGGTCTATGACCTGGAAATGGCCCGCCACACCGACGAGGTGAAGGACCGAGGCATCAGAATCGTCGACCCACAGGCCCTCATCCTCGCGACGGAGCGTTATGATAACTTCCATATGGAAGCTACCCATGACAACGTGAAGGTCACCGCCAACTGGTTCTTTCACCTTTGCTCGGCCATCATGTTCGAGCGATGGTTGGTGAAGCACGCGATGGAGCTAAAGGCCAATTCGCGCGGCATCCTCTTTCACAACCATTTTCATCTCGGACTCGGCTTGGAAGAGCTCGACATCCCTCCTACCACGGACATTTGCTGATTCCGGCAGAGGCCGAGCAGGTGACCTTTCCACCTGAGGCGCCGCCTATCCAGCGCTTCCCCGAGGAGGAGATTGTCCTCAATCAGCCGATCCTCAGCTTGGAAAAGCTTGACGAGCTCGAGGGTGTACCGCCTCTACTGACTACGTCAACGAAGTGGCGAAGGAGTCAGAGGAGCTCACGGTGGAAGACATGGTGTCTCGCAATCCAAATCCGGAGGACGAGCACCTCACCGTGGAAGCGGTCGACCCCGGCTCGGAGATGGAACAGATCGTTCGCAATATGATCGAGTCTGTGAACCTGGTCATGACGGATCAAGAGGCAGAAGAGGTCGCCCAGGAGAAGGGTGTTGCTCCCTATGAGTTTGTTGAGCCCAATGTCACAGCCACATCTGTCGTGGATGGTGAGGCAGTTTCTACGATTGCCACATCTCTGGTCCGATGGCTGTTGATTATGGCACAGACGATGTTGAGGAGCATCCCCGTGGGAGCGGTGGACCCATCTGGCTTACGCCAGAGCAGCTGCCTGATGTCAAGGGTCGCATGGGTTACTTTCGTCTCACTGAGATGGAGTGTGTTTCGTTGGGCAAGAAGCTGTCGTGGCACTTGCGTGGGCACGCCAAGGACAAGGGATTTCGCACTGTGGAGTTCGACGAAGAACAGGCTGCAGAGATCGGCGATGTTTTGAAGGTTATCAGCAAGCAATGGTCCCGCCTGACGGTGATGACCATCATTGACCTCTTGACGTCCGATCACTGCGACAAAGGCCGGTTCGAACTCCAGGCGGAAGCCTTGGACGAGGATACGCGGTTAGGCCGGGGCACGAACTGGCACTTCACCCGTATCAGAGCCTGGTCCAAGGCCACAACGCCTGCCTGCTCGTCCTCGACAGCGATCCGCTGAAGATCACTGTCAAGCAGTGGGCCTTCGACGACAATTGGACCCCTTCCAAAACTGAGCTCCCGCTCACGGGGCCCTACCCGTACCGGGCAACGGCATTCGATGTTATGCCGAAGCTGGCCTATCACGCCACCTATTGGCGTAACTTCACAAAGATTGTGAACTCTGGCCTCATCCCGGGAGGGAAGATGACGTCGAAGGGGAACAGCGGAAGGCCCTTCAACATGTTTGCGCTGGAGCCGCAATGGGACAACCAAGGTGCCCGCCCAGGTGCCCAGCTCGAGTTCGTCATCGACTTGCAGCTCGCTGCGTGCGACGGCTGCCGATTCTTTGAGACCAAGGCTGGAGCACTTCAGACACCGGATTGGGTGAGCAACCGGGCCATTCTGTATGCCTATGATCGGTCGACCCAGGAGATGATTTGGGCTAGCCGGGCATACGAACCAGCGCAGAAGCGCTTGGCGCAGGCGTGCAAAGACAAGAGCCCCAACACGCCAATATACGGCGAGCGGGGTCACCAGGAGCTGATTGACGCGAATGGCTATTGCTACAACTTCATATTGTGGCAGGCCGGGGGTATCGCAACTTCAAAACCTGGAAGGACGCTGCTAAGGCATGCAAGGACGTCTATGACCTGGAGTTCTTTCCGATGAGCATGTGTGGTCTAGACGTTCGCATCCCGGAAGGGCATGCCTTGCAAGGCTCTGAGTCAATGTACCAGATGGTTGTTCATGTGGCGCCCAGGCACCCCCATCACAAGTGCAACGACGAGTCGGATTGGCGTCGCCAGGAGAATGTGAGCATTCCTTCATTTGCCTGCCCGGCTTGCGGTACATCCAATGTCGACGGCACCATCTGCTGCTACAGATGCGAGGCCCGTCTGGAACCGCACTCCGACATCAGCATGGCCCTGGAGAATGTGCGTGCCAAGCAGGTTGCCGCTCGGAAGAGTGAGCCCCTTGACTATCGGGCTTTGCAACCAAGTGGCGAGGTCAATGCCAACAGGGCCACAGGGCACAAAAGGAACGCAGCGCAGGATGCGGCCCAGCTGCGGTTCGACAGCAAGCCGCGAAGTACCTCGGCAAGGCTTTGAAAGCGGGCTCTCGCACAGTCATGGAGAGACAATCCCGTGATCCTTTCATGGCCTACAACAATGCGCGGTTCGGCATTTCTATTACTGGGCTGGAGCAGTTGATGATTTTCGCCCGCATCAGGATTGCCAACCCACCGAGGTCTCGCCAGATGATCGCCGATCGCACTGGCTTTGATGGCGCAGCCAAGGTAAGCTTCTCATTCCCACCGGAAGGTGAGGACCTGACCCTTACGAATCACTGTTATGTGGCGTTTGTGGACAGGTTCTACAAGTTGGATGAAGCTGCTCTCCTGGCATTTGCAGTTCACCGCAACGGCTTTGTCATGGAGATCCTTGGATTTAGCGGCCGCATTCTGAAGCCGGCAGGACCAGTGGTCCAGATCTTGGCGAGAATCGTGGGATTCTTCAGGACGAGATCCGGTATGCTGTTGAACGTGGCGAGCAGGTGCCTGAGTTGGTTTTGCCAGCCAATGAAGAGCTCCGCGCCCCGGAAGGGCTGGCCTCTCTGGGGGATAGACAGCTGAATGAGCTTCTCATCAACACAAAGTTCGCAAGGCAGCTCCCTGGCACCAAGAGTGTCACTGAGAGGGTCGGCTACGCCGACCGGGCGGGGACCGCAGAGAGAGGCAGATCTGCTCAGCCAGCGATTCCAAAGGCCCAGCCTACTACCAGCCCAACCGGCGGTGCACAGCGTGCTGGCTCAGTGCCTTCGAAGCCAAGGGCTCGCCCACGAGTGGCGGCTACGCGCATGAAGCCGACGGAGCCAAGCTACCCGCCACCCGGAAGGGATGTCCGCCACCCGGAAGGGATGTGCCCGAATCGTCAAGCGATGCACCCATGCGTCCTCCCGAGCCAAAGTGGCCTCCACCAACGACTCTGGTCGTGGATTCAACGGGGAACCCTATTGACCCATCGCAGCCTCGCCAGTTCTATTTTACTCGGCATGATTCGCTGCTTTGGGCACGCCTCAAAGCGTCTCGGGATAAGAACGTACCAAGAGGCATGGAAGATCGTGCAGTACCAGCCTTCAATGACTTGAACGACTTCCACCTCTTGGCTCCGGAGCACGTCGGGTACTACATCTCTGGATGGAAGGAAACCCAAAACGGGATCCGCCTGTGCTGACTGCCGCGTCTTGTGCAGTTCGGTAGCAGCTTAATTTGCTTTTGCAGGCTCATTTCTTTTGCATTTCTCCACCCTGACGGGTTGGACGTGTAAGAGTAGTTTATCTGCCCCATGTCCACCATTTCGCCTCCCTGACGGGACGGCCTATGTAAAGGGCCGAACCAATGGGACTTTCTATGTCAGGAGTGTTGAGATCATTACCAAGAGCTTCTTTACGCCTGAGGTGTAAAACAGTCAACGTTTCGCATTTGCAACGTGTTGGTAGCATACTGTACTTCTACTTCCGCCTCTCTTCGCTGCCCTAAGAGGCGCGGGGGGTGTTTTGTATGTATTTGTACGTATGTCTACGGACATACTGTTGCATTGGCTCAGGACAAAAAGGTGTGCGCAGTTTTGTGCTGTCGGGCATTAACTATACCTTCGCACCCATCTCTTGGATGAAAGGAATTCCATAAATTCCCTAAATTCCCTCATCCCTAATCCACCGAAAAGAATTTAGGGAATTCCATAAATTCCTGAAACCTTAACCCCATGTAGGGAATTGAGCCGGCTTGAAATTCAAGCCGGTTTCACGCCGTTCAAGCCGGCCAGGTGTGGATGAGCCCGGCTTGAGATTGCTGAGTAGCGAGCAGATGGCTTCAAATGGCTAGTGAAGCTTCGATGCGGGACTGGGTGGCTTGAAATGGCTTGAAACCGGCTTGAGTTTCAAGCCGGCCCACCGAAGATTCAAGATACCCCAGAAGATTTTGACAGGAATCTTCAATCTTGGATGGGCCGGCTTGAAATTCAAGCCGGTTTCAAGCCATTTCAAGCCGCGCAGTTCCAAACCCACCCGGCTTGAAATGGTTTGAAACCGGCTTGAATTTCAAGCCGGCCCATCGAGGATTGAAGATTTCCGTAAAAACTTTCTGGGGCATCTTGAATCTTGCATCTTCAACCCTCGATGGGCCGGCTTGAAATTCAAGCCGGTTTCAAGCCATTTCAAGCCGGGTGGGTTTGGAACTGCGCGGCTTGAAATGGCTTGAAACCGGCTTGAATTTCAAGCTGGCCCATCCAAGAGTGAAGATTCCTGTCAAAACTTTCTGGGGCATCTTGAATCTTGAATCTTCGGTGGGCCGGCTTGAAACTCAAGCCGGTTTCAAGCCGTCTCCAGGACCTTGAGACAGACAGGGCACGGAATCAAAAAACAAAAGTTTGGGCAACAGCAAAAGAGATTACTTCGTCTGCGATCGGCAGGGGCAGGACACACCAGACTCAGACACACAGGACTCAGAGCCCAAACAGGCGGATAACTCGGGGGGGTACCATATATATGTATCTCTCTCGATCTCTTTCTTTCAGTATATCTACACAATACAAATACAGACACGTGTCACTTGTCTCGGACTTCGCTCACTCATGCTGCGGAATGGTGCTCTTCTCTGGGAACATGATGAGAGTCATTCGGCTACAGCTGGAGGGCAGGCTCAGGTCGTGAACGTGTCTGTCACAAGAAGAAAAGGAGAATGGCATAGCAGTACCTTTTCTGCAATTCGACTGGTACTTCCATCATCTCGCGCCGAAGCTCTGTGACAGTTCCTCAGCGATCGCACGGCCGAAGTTCCCGGCATGGCTGCGGATATGTTGATGCTCTCTTATGAGAATGTCGAAGGGCATTCTGCATTCTGCACGCAGGATCTGTCATTTGGACTGCACCCGCGCTTATCTGCAGACTCAGAATGTCGCATCCTTCGAGGAAGCTTCAGTGATCTGCCCATGTGCATCGTTCAGGTGCGGCTGCTTAAGGTGTGTGCATTGATTTTGACATTTCAGGATGGAGCGACACGATTGATCGACTGCCCCTGTGGCAAGGCATGCCACGGGTGGCGGTTCCCGGTTGTCACGTCGAAATGCCTGTCCTCATGGCTCGATGCAAAGCATGCCAGGGTGTCTATGCTCCTCGCTGCACCGTGTGTGGATGCAGCTTGCTGCCACCAACTCCAGTGATGCAGACACTTGGCATTACGGCCGTTACGGCTCTCCAACGGCGCACTCCACAAGATGCTACTTGCGTTGACGTCAGGACCTGCGCAGCACCATGTGGGCGAGCCTTGGCGCACAGGGCATGCATGGATGCTGCTGGGGCCTCAGGGAAGCTGAGCCATAGCGCAAAGCCCGCGAAGCCAAGATGGCATCAGACCTGAGCAAAGCTGCGCTAGATTGCCGCTAGATTCCCAGCTGGGGCCAGAGCAACTGTTTCGAAGGTTTCGGGCACAGGGAGCTAGACTCAGAGGAAGGGCTTCAGACATCAACTGCATGCGGCTACATGTCCAAGCTGCAACTCGAAAACGATCTTCCAGACGATGCGCGTTGATACCTCCTTCGAGGAAACCATTGTGAGGGGCCCAAGAAAGATTATCACAATGTGCGAAGACTTCTGACTTCCGTGAGCCGACCAAAGCCAAGGATCTTTCGCTGCATTGTTTGGGGCATTGCCAAGTGTTCCAGGGAGGAGGAATTGAAGTGGAAGCGTTTCTCAACCCTGGGCGTGTCATAGGAAGAACATGCAAAACCAAAGTGATACTTGTGAGTTGTTTGATTCGTTTTCGTGTTTTCTGACTGAAGTGCTGGCATTGCGGCATTACGCGACCCTCAGGTCGAATTCCTAGCCTGAAGATCCTCAAGATCTGTTGAACGTGAGCAGAGCCGAGGTCCAAAAATTTGGTGCTCGAAGAGATTGCCAACTCTGCAGGAGAGGGGAATACGGTGGGGCTCCCCCCATGAGCTCGGTTCGTCTTGAATCGCCCGTGATAGGAGGCCATGGATGTTCTGACTCCAACCTGCATGGCCGCTGATTGTACATATGCAGGCTTCTGCCAGTCAACCAGACATAATTTATGTTTCCGCTACTGGCCGCGCACAGCCTGTAGCTCGGATGTTGATCAGATCGAAACCTCTGGTCATTGTCCCTGGAAAAGCTGTGCAGCAACAACATGTAGCCGGACAGCCAAAATTCATCTTTGCGACTCTTATCTGCAACGTGCTACATGGGGCCTCGCCAGACGGACAAATCCTGTGCTAGAATGCATTGGGCACGGAAGAGCAGCTTGTTTTGCGCGGTTCTGTTTCAGAGGCACATTCCGGTGGCATTCTCAAGGCATGAGCATAGGGTACAGATGACAGCAGATCTCAACAGATTTTGCCGATCATTGTGCCACTCGCAGCCAGCTCAATAAAACCCATAACCAACTCAAAGTTTAGATCTTTTGCCAAAGCAAATTGCCTCTTTGTCAGCCAAATCGGCCAGTTGTCAGGCCCGAAGTCCAGGCCTTAGCAGCCTTGGCATGGAGGTGACAGGCCGCTTTGAGGTGAGTTTGACATAGTTTGACCCTTCTTACACCGGTGAAACTGGAACGACTTCTTTCAGGGCTCTCTGACGTCCGAATGTCATGGCTGAGCAGGTGGCATGTCACAGAAATGACCGCCACAACATTTGAAACACAACCTCCTACAGCGCACGACAGCGCAGCATAGGCAGAGGCTGTAACGGTAACGCCGCCACTGGAGAAGGCAAGGACTCAAGGCCCGACTAGAGTCGACGGCACGGGAGTCTTGCGCCCCACCCCTGACAAGCCTGGCTCACGCATGCCCCGTGCACTAGCTGAGTGCTCGCACCCGTCAATGGCAACAAGACCCTGCAGCTCTCTGTCATTCCCGCTGCGCGGTGGCTGCCCTCGCTCGATCTTCTCTCCGGCGCGACTCATGGCACGCCAACTGGAACGACTGCTGCATGCAGTAGCACAATATACACTGCAAGGCACAGGCCGAGGTCTGCATCCTTCTTGCAGTTCGAGCGCACGCGCAACGGCCAAACAGCATGCCACGAGACACCTTGAGCGTTGCAACTCAAGTCTCGCTACATGTCGGTTGCAGCCTTGGCAAGCACGGCACTGGCGACAACCGACAACTCTGTTGGCTGCTAGGGGGGCTGCGGGTGAAAGCCTAATAGATGAAGAGGAACTGCCCTGAAGCAAAGGTCACCCCGGACAACCCGCGGTGTACTTGAGAAATATCTCGGCAGCTTGAAAGTAGTGTGTGTGGCCATCGCTTTCAGTTCCACTCAGCTGGTGAAGCCTTGCATGCGTCTTACTGCGTGCATGTACCAGATGTTTGCCCAAATGTGTGCAAAAGTTCTGAGGTGCCTGTCATGGCGCCACCAGAGACTGACAAGGAACACCAGGGACATCAGGGCAAGATACAGCACGTTGTGACTTGCATCTGACTTCGCTAGCCCGATCGGTGCACGGACTGAAGTAGCCCTTTCGTCATGCTATGTCTACATCTACATGACCTTATACTGTGAGCATATGAGATTGCTGCTGTAAAGGCTGCATGTTTGGGACCGCGAAGGCAACACAAGTGCTAACGAGGGTCCTTTGGCGCCAGGCTACAGAGAAAGAGCTTCAAAGGATACGCCGGTTGCCGGAGAATCGGGTGCGGCCGAAGTCTGGAGCAGTGTCTGCAATCTGTAGTCATGATGCAATCTGGCAAGGGGAGATGCCCGCACATCAAATTGCAGAGGCTGTTCTTGCAAAGTGTCAGATTTGCCTTGGCGCAGGTGTGCCCAAACTGTTTGAAAGAGGAAAGCCTGGGATTTAGTGCAGTTTGCACAACGTTCAAGACGCCAGAGGCCTAAGCAGAGCCCGTAATATTGTAACAAGCCCAGTCAGCTGAGTTCGTAAGCATCCTCTGAGGTTCATCTGCCATGACTGCAAATCTGCTCATCAGAGTTTCTCACATCGCTGCAAGAGCATCCAGATGAGTGTGTGGACATTGGAGGAGGTTAAGGCTCGAAGTGTAAGCAGTGAACAAGTGATTTGTGCTGACTTCGACAACAGCCCTTGATTTTGCATGTCGAAGCATCGCGGCAGGCTCTCGACGACTGCAACGGTGGCGGAAATGCCGCGGCCGTGCGCAAGTATCTCGGGAAAGTGACACCAAAAGACCGCGCGAAGCAGGCAGATTGGTAAAGTGCCAGCCGATATGCACAAGACACAGGGGAGTTCGCAGTACCCTCTCTCTGCAGGGCAGTACCCTCGAGCTGTACAAACGATTCATTCAGCCCTTCTCTTAGCTGAAGCTGAAGTGCAGTTTCGTCCCGGTAGCAGACCTGCAAGAGCTGGAAGAAGATTGGATTGCCAACTACCATCCCATGCGAGTCGCATGGAAACCTGAGGCGAGCTTACGTTGACCAGCGATGGGCGGACGATGAGCCGGAAGCTTCTGTCCCGGAGGCGAACCAGACCCATCTTGCAGTGAGCGTTGGAGCACGGACGAAATCGCAAAGTGACCTGTCCTAAGTCGCAGGCACCTCAAGTACTGCCGGCACCTTCGTCGCCAGAAACAACGCCAGCTTCCAAAACTGATGGCCGCGAAGTGCAAGGGCACCTGAGCTCAAAAATGCACGATCCAAGGGAGGAGTCCAAGTCCCGACCTAGGTGCGACCCTGGTTTTGCTTTTTGCGTGCTGCAATTGCTTCGCTTCTGGCTGTGCTCATTCATGCAGCATGCCTTAACACCTTCAGGAAGGGCCGTCATCGCACACGCCTCAGATTAATCCTTTCGATTGGTAGATGTTGACTGCATTCAGTGTGTGCTTGAAGATATTGAAGATCCTGTTCGAATATCTGCAGTTTCACACCTTGCCTCAACCATGCTGCACTTCATGGAGCAGCGAATAGCTTGACTAAACAGCTCTCAAGGCATGCAACGTACAGACTTGCCCTTCCCGCAAACCCTGATATCAATATCAGAACGCTACATAATGTGGCTACAGAGTCCGGATCGCGAGTTGGACTGCAAGAAACATATTGTCATTCATGAGACGCCCAAGTCTAAAGCCCGTGTCCACGCCAAAACCGGTTGGACAACTCTGCGGAAAGTCGCTTCTCGATGCTCAGAAGTGGTGGTCATCCATCCAGATTCCGTTAACCCGACGCCCGACCTCAAGCGCATTCTTCCGCGCAGCACTCTCGATCAATCATCCCTTGCGCGTCTTCAAGACTCAGCTTCTATGCCCCCATGCCCCATCGACCATCAAAGCGGGGTAGGCTAATTAATTTCTATCAGTTGACTGAGCCCAAGTCCTCGTTCTGAGGCAAAAGGAGAGAAAAGGCTGCCAACCTGCAGCTTGAAGCTTATTTCTGGTGAGGCCAAGAAGGTGGCCCTCTTTAAGTCTTTTCTCCTTGTCTTGAGGTCGGACTCGGCGCAGGCACTGCGACCACTTCGCCAATGGTTGCGATGTGAAGCTGAGTCGGAGTGCCCTGCTTGCAGGACGTGAATATAAGCAGCCTTGCGATCGCAGGTGGCTCCAGATGGTCTGTGGCAGCATGATGTGCCCGGCAACGTGCTGAGCATGCGAGATGTTCGTGCCTGGAAGTAGCAACAAAGTCGTCGAAGCAGGGGCTTCCAGAAGAGGCATTAAACAGAGTCGACATCCGCACTGTGCAGTAACAGTCTCTTGGCTTTCCTCTCTCCAACAAACTGCTCCTAATTAGATTCTTCTCACAACTGAATTGCTCTCATCTGGAGTTTCGAGGCCACTTTGTAATCGGTCTGGAGATAATCGTACTCGGCCACGAGTTCAAGCTGCAGAGCAACGTCCCAGCCGAAACAGTGCATGCCACATCGGCCAGAATAGACCTGGCAGAGACAATTTCAGCACAGGTGTCCAAGACTCCGAACAGCTACTAAGTGACTACTACTGCACCGGTCCTGCGGAAGTGTTCATGGATCGAATACTCACAACTCCTATGCAAGGTACACATCCGCCCCCGCAAAACCAAAATACCATCAGGATAGTCGGCTACTTGGAAGGGTTTACGACTTCATGCCTCGCCTCTGGCTGTTTGCCCCACGGCGATGGGCGTGCTGTACGACATTGGCCTTCAACTTGTGGCTGCAGGCGGACTCCGCGACTGAAGCATCTGTCAGGGATTTTGCACTGCCTGTGCTGGATGGATGGCATTCACAATATGGTCAGGACAAGACAATTTTGAGGTGGCTGTACAATGAAGAGGCCTCCGATGCTGCTTATGACCTGATGCATGGGCGAAAGCATCGACAGGGCGTATTTATCGAGCTCGGTGCCGGTGACGGCCTCGCCGGCAGCAACACTTTAGCTTTCGAGCAGAAGCTAAACTGGACGGGGCTCTTGATTGAGCCAGTGCAGCACTTTTATGAGAAGCTCCGGGTCAATCGCCCAGCAGCAACCTGTGTGCATGCTTGCGTTGCGGGGGCGACAGGTCCAAAAACGCTTGCAGAGAGCGGGTTCAACAGTGGTACAACCGGCCGCCTTGTTACATCGAGCGATCTGGAAAAGCTTGTGGACATGACATGCCAAACGTTGGGCGACCTGATCGACAAGCACCTTGGTGAGATGGGGCGCCATATAGACTACCTTTCGCTTGACACTGAAGGTACTGAATTGGAAATCCTCGCGACGTTCGACTTTAACAGATACCAGGTGGACGTAATGAGCATTGAAGTCGACGATGCTCTTCCAGAAGAGATGTACGCTCGCTTAACTCGCTTGCTCGACCGGAGGGGCTTCCGTTTCCTGGAGCGGTTGCTGGTGGATGAAATTTGGATTCGGAAAACTGGACTGGAGCCAGACCCGACGTGCCTCTACCCATCCCTGCAGTTAGGTCCGAATGTCGCAGACTTTTCTTGGGCTAGCCTGCGGAAGGCCTTGACGTCGTTGCGAGGTGTGTTGCTTAAACGACCATTCGATACCTTGGATGTGAATGTTCTAGCTGGCAAGGAGGCCTTGGCTTTGAATCATTTCCTCTACAAGTGGATGGAGGAAGATTTGCAGGATTGGGAAAGGACGTGTCCAGCAGGAATGTTGACTCTGGGTCTCGCCTTCGTGCTTCTGCACAACCGCTTCGGTGACACCACCCCCGACAAATGGAGTTTGGCCAAGGAGCTTCGCCAGCAGTCGGTGTTCCACCACACGGAGCGGATCCTTAGACTACAACATGTCTCGGACTATGTAGGTCAAATCCGGGAGTCGGAGCTGTCAGCGACCCCCTTCAGTTTCCGTTTCCCCTTAGGCAAGGCATGGCACTCGACCAGTTTTCAGCAACTTCTGGAGGCAAGATGGCCGATTTTCGGTCTGCTGGATGTCGTGGCGAAGCGCATGGGGAAGTCTGGGCACTTGATGGAGAAAACCGAATACCGAGGAATCGAGGAGCACAGGCCAGTCCCTTTGCCTGCGATGCGCTGCCAGCTCGAGGTTGCTCCACAAGACGACCTAGTCCGAGTGGCGCACAAAACGCCACTCATCCGCAGGGGCAAGCACCGATCCACGCAAAGCTTGCTCCTGGATGCCGATGGATGTAGTCTTCTTGGAATTGCTGCAGCGAACTTTCACCAAGCCCGAAATGAAATCCACAGGCTGGTTCAGAATGAGGCTTCCAGGTTCATGACCTTTGACATCTTGCACAACTGGACAGCAACCTGTTCGGATCAGAGGTCTCCTGAACTGTGCGCTGCAGACTCGAACGAAAAGTGTGCGGCTTTGCAGGATGATCACAGACGCGTCTCAAAGGCCTGCTTGCGTGTTCACCGGTCGAAACGTTCGACCCTGCGACTTCGACGTAGGATTCGTCTTCGAAAGACACGTGCAGGATTTTGGATAGAGGAAGGGGAGAGGCTTTTTCGAGAGTTTATTGCAAGGTACGACCTGCAAGCGGCGATGTGGGCAGCAGGTCAATTCGAGCTTGCACCTCACACAGACCGCCGTGTGACATTTGGTACGTGGCCAGCGACGGAGGAGGTGAAGCATCGAGCGACGATGTTCGGGATATTGAATTCCCTTCAACAGGACTTGTTCTTTCCAGATGATCTGCTGCCGCCCCTATGACTGAGAAAAATATCGAACCAGCTTTGCTCCTCAGCGATTGCAGGTCTGAGGGTGTGGTTTTCGGACTCCAACGCGGTGGTGCTGTCAGAGCTGTGTGGCTGCGGCCGTTTGGGTGGGAGGGGTGGGAGGGGGGCAGCAAGCAAGAACTTGGGTAACAGAAGCATGAGTCATCAAGAAAGGCCTTGGCTCGACCGTGAGCAGTTGTTCACGTGGGAGCTTGATGCAGCTGAAGAGTTCCAGCATACCTCGCAATCGAGCACAGCTCTAACACCGTGATACCTACCTGTCTGCAACTGTCCCGTCCAAGATCATTTTTTCTGCTGCTGAAGAACATACGAGTAACTAAAGTACTCTGGGACAGCCACTCCATTCTCATCTGAAGGTCTTCTGAAAGTTCTCACAGGAAGTCGTCGAAGCGTGCAGGGAGTGTGCGGTGTGCTGGCGCTGGTTGTTGGCAGATGTGGTTGCAGCCCTGCAGGTTGAGAGATGTTGCTCCCGTGTGCCTCGCCCAAGGTCAGTCTCCGAGCCCGCTAGGTCTTGAGCAGGTGCGGTTGTGACATTCTGACATGACGCTCTGTCGGCTGAGAGACTTTTGCGGGACTCCCGTGCTGACGCATGTTGTTGGTGCCTGTTGTCAGGAAAGCCGTTATGGAGCTTACGGCAGGCAAGCTCGGGCGAAACCTTGAATCATTTGTTTAAGCTTTACAGACAGATCCCCAAAAAGCCTTCGCTGGCAGCAGTCAGGTTCTGCACAAAGATGCAACAAGAAGAGTTGTGACTATAGGGCATACGGAACGTCCTGGTCCTCACGCCAACATCCTGCCGCTTACACATGGCTTGCGAATCTCAGGGTTGACTTGCATGCAGGAGAGAGGAACATGCTGCGCACGCAGTGCAATTTTTTCAAGGGCCAGGACGGGTACAGTCAAGACAAGCAACAAATGGCAACACTATGGAGATGTGCATCAGCTGAGCTCGCCCTCTAGGCCTTCACGAACACTATGGCAGCAATCCCGAAGAGACACATCGAAAGTGCGGTGCCCAGTGCTTCCCGCGCACGTTCATGAAGCTCGTAGCAAGAGCCCTGACGTGATCGCACCGCCGCAACGCATCTCACAACGTGGAGGTTGCTTGGAGCACTGCCACGTGTGGCTCCGCAGTCGCCTCCGCTCTCGACTGCCGGGCCTGGGGACCCGGCAGACGCAAGAAGAAAGGCCTAGGAATCGACTCCTTTCAAAGAACTGGCTCCGGCTCTTTGCCAGGTCGTCGACAGTGTGGTCAACACCCACTTCGAAGGTGCAGAGAAGTTGGTATTGTTGGTCAAAGCACTTGCTGACTTGTCTGGTTTCGGAGTCTATCCGCAGGGAGTGGCGCTTCCGCTAGTTCTGGCCTCATCCGTGTGTAACCGTGTACTGCACAGCTGTGGGAAAACACTTCCTGGGACGAAGTATGAAGTCTCTCACTCCTGTAAGTTGTTCCACATTTGTGCATCTAAAGAATCTACAGGCTCAAGCATTTTGCTTGAGCATTCACATTCTCAATTCCCACGGAGGATGAACCACGAAGGACAGGCTCTCCAGATGGCAGAGGCCATGCGAAACGGAGACGATTGGCCCTTGGCAAGTCTCGGAATCCCGGTCTCCAGACAGTCCAGACGAACTGATACTCAGCACCCAGATGATCGATCAGCATGTCCCATGTTGATCATCGGGAGGCAGTGGCAGTGGGGAGTGAAAGGAATGAAGCGAGACGAGGAGTAGCGGAGGAGCGAGCTGAAGATGAGAGTGACAGAAGTGGAGAGAACGTGAGAAAGAAGGGGGGAGGGAGAGAGAGAGAGATCCATAGTCCAATACACTGCCTTACTCTAGCCGGGGGATCGATGCTGTTTTCACGCCTCTCCAAAAAACCCCATAACACATGGGGGGCCAATATGGCCGGGGGGCCTCAACAGCCCCTTACGCCCTGCGGAAGAAGAGAGAGAGAGAGAGAGAGAGAGAGAGTTTTGGCTCAAGGCCGTGAGTGCTCAAGGTCCGAGCCACGTATAACTACTGAGGGAGGACCTCAAACCAGAAAGGAGAGCCTCCGAGAGCTGTGCCGATCTGCGAGCATAGTGTGCATCAGCTTCTACCTCTTTGCAGCCCTTTGCGTGTACGCCATCGAAGTTACTTTGAGTGACCTCGGGGGGATCGTTCTTGTACGGTGTCCTTGCGTTGTCCCTTCGGGAGAAGAACAGCAGCTTCGCGAAGGTTATCGGCGGCCTACAGGACCGCACCAACCCCTCAACGATCAGCCGCCAGATCCACGCTGGGAGGTTGATTTGATCTACACTGGGCGGGGGAGAATCTCACCGTCGTGTTCGTGAACTATTTGCAGCCCGAGGACCTAGCAAAGTTCGAGTGGCGAGGTACGATGGCAACAAACAACGAAGCTAATCGACCTGGGGGAGCCGAGCCCTCCCACGAAAGCAACCCTCCTCAGTCAACTCCGAAAAGAGCCCGTGAGCAGGAACAAGACATCAATGGGGACGACTCAGGGGAGCAGCCTCTGACACTTGCTCTACTACAACAAGCCCTGCAGGTCAACCAACAGCAAATCACCAACTCACTCCATGAGTCATTGGAGGGGATCGGGCGACGAGTGGGCAACCTGGAAACCAACTTCGAGCACCATGTCGAGCGGACCACACAACTACTCGGGGCCATGACTGACCGCCACAGCGCCATCGAGCATACGGTCAAGAAGGTGGACCAATCATACGACGAAGTCCGACGACGTTTGGAGCTCTTGGAGGGGAAATTTGCTACAGCAACCTTCTCCTCCACAGCCAACACAAGCCTGCGTAGCACAGAAACAGGGGGACAAGACTCTGCACGCCCCGCCGTGATCATGGGGGGATGGGACGCTGACCAGAGCGCCAGTGAAACACTGCGCCTCGTGAAACAACACATTGCAGAGCTCCAAATCGACATCGACATGACCGACGCCTTCGTCCCCGGCATAAGACGAGGTTTCGCAATAGTACCCGTCGCAGCCAGAGCCAACGAAAGTCAGGGGGAATTCAGAACTCGAATCCGGGACGCTCTCAAGGAGATTCGCGAGTCGAAGGTCATCACAGGACAACGGCCAGAAGGGGGAGATCGGCACTTCTGGGCGGCAATGAGCGAGAGCCCCGAACGTCGAAAGAGAGCTCAATTTGCCGGCAAAGTCAAAAGGCTGATCCTCGAAATGCAGGGGGACAAAAGCAAACTTGACGTCGAGTTCGGCACGGGCAATGTATGGTACAGCAGCATCAAGATCGCCTCAGCTACGTCATCCCCACCACCGGGGGCCGAAACCGCAGGCGTGGGCTGGATCCTGCTCAACACACTTGCTCGCCAAATGGGGACAAGCTTGAGTGCCCTATCCGAGAAATGGGGGGAGCTCAAGCGCCCTCTGGAGTGACATGGAGACGAAGAACAGTGTCACCCCCAAGTACGACCGAAACTGGAACTTGGGGAACTGCATGTTATCACATGGAATGTTGGGGGACTTGCACCTGACCGAGCCCTCCGACTTCTACGTGACCTTCGCAACGAACGAATTCATCCTTTCCACAAGCCCTTCGTCCTGTGTCTCCAAGAGATCATTGTGGACGTTGGCAAACAGACGCACGAGCTCGACGACATTCAGATGATCACCGGCAAACAGGCTGAAGAATGGCGGGGGACCGGCATCGCCCACACCGCCGACACACAGCATCATCGCCACAAACTACTCCGACATGCTAGCAGTGCCGTCATCGTACAAGGCAAGAAACGTATACTGGCAATATCAGGACATGTGCCGCACCACTGTACAGTGAGCGAATGCTGCGGAATCCTGGACACATGGAAGCAGCAAATGCCGGGGGACGGCAAAATCGTGATCGGCATGGACGCCAACGAGACCTTCAAAAATGGGCACGAAGACGCGATCCTTTCCGACTCCGCACGCGGCGAGCTGATCTTGACATGGTGGATGGCACTACATGGGGACATTCCGCCACAACAGCTACACAAGCCATCATATTTTCCATACAATACCCGTATGCACCCTCGTCGACTCGACTACATCTTCACACGAACTCTGACAGCAATAAGTGGGGATGTGGGGGAACTCAGACACCTGGCTACCAGCGACCACGAACCGACCTGGATTTCATGCAGTACCCCGCTGGAAAGAACTCCGCCACAGAAGGCCGGAAAACCTTGGGGCTGCCGCCAACTACGAGATGCTCCAGCTGTCGAAGCGGTCTTGAACGGCCAGCCACGTAGATCGGGGGATCCTCTTCTACAACTCCGCGACATTTCCATTGCCATCACCAAACCAGGCCGGGGGATTCGCGGCTTTCGCGAAAGCGAGGACCTCAAGACCAGGAGGCAGACCATTATCCGCATGATTCCAGGCGACGAACAAAGACGGCAATGGAAAGAAGTGCTCAAGCTCCGCCGACAAGAACATCGTCTCTGGAGACAAACCATGCACGAGAAGGCCGGCGAAGGTTTCTGGCATTCCAAAAAGGTTGTGGACGGCGAAGGGCACAACTCAGCGTGGGAACTGCAGCTACAAGACGATGAACGATGGCGGGAAACGCTGCACAAACACTTCAGCGACATTTTCGATCGGAAAACCAGGCCTGAGGTAGACCGGAGACTGGGGGAGATCACAGACAAGCTGACCGTTATGTGCAAACACACTACCTGGAAACCTTTTGACGAGACAGAGTTGAAGGCGGTGCGAAAACGATGGAAGAATGGAAAATCCTGTGGCCTCGACAGCATTGCCAATGAAGCCCTCAAAGTGCTCTCCAAGCACGACTACTGGCGATGCAAACTGTTGTACTTCCTCAACGACCTTCTGTACGTCGGAAAGTTACCTCAAGGCCTCGAAGCTGGGATCACGGTGTTGCTGGCGAAGTGCCCAACCCCCCAATCTTGGGGGGACACGAGGCCAATCACGCTGAGCTCAACTTTGTTGAAAACCTTCTCGCAGCTGATCATCCACCGCACCGCGCACCTTGTGCAAGAGCCCTCCAGGCTGCAATGGTCACGCCGTCACAGACAAGGAGTCGAACTTATCATGATGCTTCGGAAGGTCTGTAGAACAGCACATGATTGGGGAATCCCCATGTACATCGCCAAGTTAGACATCCGAAAAGCCTTCGACTCGATCTACCAAGAAGCCCTCGCCGAGCAGATCGCCAAGGACGTGGGGGAGACCGGGGGAGCGCCCTGGGAAGCCAGAGCATGGGTGCAACTGCTCCATGCCCGCCAAGTCACCATACACTTCAGGGGGGAGAACTTCGTCGTGGACCAAACGAATGGAGTACGCCAAGGAAGCCCCGATAGCCCTATCGCCTTCGGTCGGGTGGTCGCTATCGAGCTCGAGCGCTCCATTCAACAAGCTGCACCCGCCAAGTGCAAATTCGGGGAACCTCCCCCCGAAGACGGTTGTTGCTATATGGACGATAGCTACATTTGGTCCACAACGAGATCACACTTACAGGCTATGTTGGACAGACTGGGGGACAACTTGCCTCCCAAGGGCCTCGACATCCACCCCGACAAGACGGAGATCATTGACAACCAGAATGGGGGAGTCACTTTTCAGGTCGCGGGGAACACCGTCGTGAGCAAGGGTCCCAAGCATGTCATCGGCACACTGGGGAGCCCAGTATGTTTCTCGAGCTCACCGACAATATTGGTGGCCGAGATGCAGGGCCGTGGCAGACGAGCTTTCGGCAAACACAGGGGGACGTTGATGTCCAAAGCACCTCTCAAGAGCCGATTGCAGCTCCACACAGTCTTGGTGCGACAGAGCGCACTTTGGGCCTGCGAAACGTGGCCGTGCGTTGACTACGTGCTCAAAGCCGCTAACACACTACAACTCCTCCATGCAAGAACGATGATGTCCCCCCCGCGACAGGCGGGGGAGTCTTGGCCGGACTGGAACGTGAGAACGATGAGACGAGCACGCCTGTTTCTACATCAAAGCAAAGTAGAAAGATGGAGCAGCTTCATTCTTCAACAAATCTGGGGACTCATGGGCCATATCGCGCGGGGGGACGTAGTTGCCTCGAAAATACTACGATGGCGTGATCTTCGTTGGTGGCGTATAGAACAAACAGTGCCGCAGAGCTGGGGAGGAGCGAGACATGCCAGTCGCTTCCACCCACTTCTAGACGTGGAACGTCAGATCAGCGACATCGCTGGCGAAAGTTGGCAAAACGTAGCACAAGACCGGCTCATTTGGGACAGCTTGGGGGAGAAATTTATCGAGCGCTTCGATGTGCCCTGGAACTCCGGGAACCAGTCGCAGCTCGAAAACTTGGCTCCCAACAAGCCGGGGGAAAAGAAGGCCAAAACACGATCGCGAAAGAAAAAGCCGAAGCTGCGGATGATCAAGCAGGACGGGGAATGGTGAGCCGAATGACACGACAGCAGAGAGAGGACCACTCCGTCACGTTGGTCGTGGAAAGCTACACATTCCCGACAAGAAGTGCATGGCCGCCGTATGCTGGTCTTGCGGGGGATCTCCAGTGACGTCAGACTCGTGCAGAACTGTGACAATAGCAAAAGACCCTCCACGTGCAGTCCCGCCAGTCATTTCTCTTTCCCTGATGCCATGGTTTTGCAAGCAGCGTCAGCAACTCACGTTGAGGAGTTGGGCGATGCACAGCTGTCTTGCTACATAATGCTTTCGCTGCACCCCACGAAGTTCAGACCCTGCAAGCACTCCAGTATTGTGAAGATGGCACCAACTCGCCGCGCCGCCGCCGCTTGGCTTCACTTCATCATGCCGCATGCTTAACTTCATGATCACGTTGCTCTACATGATCATGCCGGTCTACATGTACATCGTCGACCACTTGATCCATGATCCTGCCCCCACAACCTGACCTACGACTACTAAATTTTTCCGTCTGAGCTTGTAGTAACAGGCACGCCCTGAGAGAGATACACGTGCAAAGCTGCAACAGCAAACAAGCATACTGCAGGATGCACCCAGGCAAAAGCATCGCTGTGTTGGTGCTCGCCATCCTACACCAGCGAACCCTACAAATGCAGCCGCAGGGAACAGACCCGTGCCTACGCACAGGCACGCAAGCAACGGCAGACTCGACAGCCTCCCCGCAGCCTCCACCGGTCGTGAGCCAACCACCGGAACAACCCTCGCAGCCACAGCTACAGCCACAACCACCCCAGCCACCGGCTGCAGGATACCAACACCAAGGAGGGGGGACACAACAATCACCACCACCAATGCACGGAGGCGGCATGATCCCTGCAACACCACAAGTCCCATGGCTACCCCCGTGGGTGGCAACCACGGGAGAGAATACAGGCCACATGCCTGTAGCGGCCACGTCCTTCCAATGGACCGCGACCCATCCCTCCAGCAGCGGAGCAGTGGTGACCTCATGGGGCGGCTACACACTCACACCACAGGCGATGCAACATGCAGGGGCCGCCTACCAACTCCAACAACAGCCACATCAAGCATCCCTTCCACCACCACAACAACAACAACACCCTCCACCAGCCTACTCCACGACCCAAGCCTACCAGGGGGGACACCTCCAGAGCCAGGCCGCACAACAACCACCACTGCAACAGCGCCAGCAGAGCAGACATCCACACGTACCACAGCAGCAAGCCCAAGCCACTGGCACCATACCCGCTGCAGCATGCCAAAGCCAGCCACCGTGGGCAAACACTGGCCACCAGACCCAGGGTGGACTGCACCGTGTCCGGTACCCACCAGCATACGACCCAGACACTGATCCGTGGAGCGAACCCGACGACAGCCCAGCCGTGGCACAAGCACAGCCACAGCAACCACCAACACAAGCAGCGACCCCCCCACAACAGAAGCAACCCGTGCCTCAAGAAGTACAACCGGCGGCAGCTACGACCTCCGTGAGACACCAGCGAACACAGGATCGCACACACCAACCACAGCATCCACGAGCCGGAGTACCCGGGGACGAACCCCCAGCAGACAGTACACAACCCGTCCCGGGAAGCAGCGGGGACACCGACACCCGGGACACCCCGCCACACGACAACACTCTGCAACCACAAAACCACACCACCGCCGGAACACCGGCACAGCAAACGGCTCCACAACGTGTACACACCACCGCGACAACAGTGGAAGACAACTGCAGACCAAAACACCCGCACCGCGAGCAGGACCAAGCACCACCTACACCCGGCGAAGCAACGGCAACACCATGCACTGCAACCACATCAGATCAAACAACAACCGAAGCAGTGGCGGGAAGTGTCCCCGATGAGGAAACAGCCCCAGCAGACACGAGAGGCAGACCACACACAGCAACCACACAAACCCAAGCCGCAGCCGAAGCAGAGGCGGGTAGAGACCCAGATGCAGGCACAGCTCAAGCAGACACGGGGGACGAACCGGGCGATGACAAAAACCCGTCGGACCCAGAGGACGACCCTGATCCGGACAGACCACGCTCCAGCGAGGGGCACGGAAGCCAGCGAGTCCAAAACAAAGCATCCAAATACGTATGGAAGCAGTCAGATCGTGCCACCCGCCAGGCACGACCCCCACCCCAAGGCCAAACCGGGCCGGGATGGGGCATCGTCTACCGAGACCAAATCCGACAGCAGAACCAACAGCAAGGCCGGAGCCACAGTGCAGGAAGCGAACCTACGCACGGACCGCGCAGCAGCAGCACAAACTCACGCAGCCAGCACACCAGCCGTGACAACAGCAACCCGGATTGGGCGGACCTGCTAAACCGCCACACGCTGCCATGGGGGACATACGGTGCCCCAACCTGATACCAGTCAACCCGGCACCAACCGCGACCAGGGGGAGGGGACCACACCAGACCAGCAACCCGCGGAGCAGCCGACGATACAAGAGGCCTGGCAACTCTGGACAGGAGAGACCCACCCGACCAGCTCCACACAGCCAACCTCCGACCCTGACATAGCACAACCCGCAGACGATCCTGCACACACAGCCTCCACCGAAGCACAACCACAAGCCACACCGGGCGTCGCCACAACTGACAACACCATCCCACCGTGGGAAGCTCAACTGCAGGACGAATGGGCAGACGCTCAGCCCCCCCTATTCATGGGGGACATCCCTCCTGATCTGCCGATCCAGAGCCATACGCATGCAAACATCGTAGCAGGCCCACATGGGGCATGGATCGTATCGATCAGCAACAACATGGGGGAACAGCCGAGCACCCAGACACTAGCAAGTGGGCTCCCCCGAGTTGTGCGAGAAGGGCAGGAAGGCACAGCAGTCACTGCACCCCCGCTTACAGCGGGGATCGTCGCAACCTTCACAGCCATAAGCGACACGCGCTGGGTGCTAGAAGTTACAGAAGCTCCCACTGCCGGCAACCATATGCCGGGGACCATGCTCCTCGCAGTCGGCGACCGCTTATTGTTCGAAGAAGTTGACAATGAATGGGTGATCAGAGTCGAAGCCCTCTCTGCACATCCACCAGCGGACATTCGCCGACTACGACAACCTGCACCTGGACAGCGGACAGCCGGGGGGAAGACAACACCCACACTTCCACCACAACCTCCCATGCAGACCATCACCGAACAGACGACCGACGACACACAAACCACCGACACTGGAGCAAGCTCGTCACACGAAGCCCCGCACTCCTACTACCCACCGGCGCGTAAACAGGCACCGCCGAACCAGCCTGCCACAGCCACCGCTTCCAGCAGCCACACAGGTACCAGCACGGCCTCCACAGCCACACAACAACAACCGGCCTTCGTCGACAGACGGGAGTTGCGAAGGAACCAGCATGGTCGGACACCGCCACAGTCAACACAAGCCCAACCAAATCCACCAAACATCAACAGACCACCATATACACCACTAGCAGCACAGATTCACGACGGCCGAAGCATCGGCCCGAAGAAGCCGCACGACCAGCCACACGACCGCCATCAACACGATGACAACCCTGACAACGACCGCAGCAGCCTAATGCAGAGGAGCATTTTCTCCGCGTCTCTACCAAAACTCGAGGACACTGCCGAGGACATTCAAGCAGCCGACGCGCAGCCACTGCCACCACCACCACAACCAACGCAACTCGAGCCGACAACTCTGGGGGACATAAGCATGGAAGCCGACAGCGCAGCAGACAATCCTCAGCAGCACACAAGCACAGCTCAAGCACCGCACCCACAGAACCAAGGCAGCGATCCAAACCCGGACCCGACCCACGAACGCTCGTGGCAAAGGGTAGAGAGACACCTGGAGGAGATACGCCGCATCATCAGCTCGCATGGGGGAACAACCGCAGAAGCCATCATGCGCAATGCAGACATGGCACTCATGCACCTACTGGTGGACACACCGACAGCAGAAGAGCTGGCAGCTACACAAGACTACAACGGGCCACAAGCAGGGGGACAGGCTCCACAACAACAGACACTGCAACCACAACCAGCAGTTTCATCGTACTGTTACACGACAGCAATACTGCAGAACCCACTCGAGGCTGCACGCATCGCTACAGCAGCATTGCAGAATATAGCACGCCAACAGATGTCTCTCGGGGGAACGTGCATTAGCTACGGACAACTAGAACCACATGTAGCAGCTCTCATGCAATGGCTTTCGTCGCTGCACGCGGGGAACATCGCCGTGCGAGTGCAACTCCCTCCAATCTTGGAGCCTTTGCGCCGCGTCCTCAACAAGATCCTGACTGAAGACTGGGCTCTGCTGATAGCCGTAGCAGAAGCAATGGAGAAGTTGCTGACGGGGGACAACCTGACGCACCCAGCAAACGTTCTGGCAGTAGCAGCAGGCAGCCATGACACAAACCTGGTTGAGCGCCCCGGGGGACCCGCGACATGGGAAACAGCCATCCTCCAGATGCAAGAATGGGCTGCAGACCTTGATGCGTGGCCAGCTGCTCATCTGCCCCAGGTTCAAGAGGCAGCAATGCGACTGGTTCGGGGGATCTCAGCACGAGTCCCAGAAGAGAAGCAAGGGCAGCCAGACACATCGGGGGAATGGTGGCGTTTCGAGAGACACCATGGCATGGGGGACCTCGCGCTCTTCCATGGATGGACGCCGCAGAGCCCGAGCAGCCCGCGCTCCCGGGGGACCAGGCGACCGCGCAGTCCCTCCTCGGACGCCAGTCACCGACGCAGACGGGTCCTCGCCGAGCACATGCACAACCACACGTGAGAGAGCATGAGCCGTCAGCCGTAGCAGCCTTGGGGGACTTGGGGGGACGCTAAATTGTTCTAATTTTCTAATGTTTTTATACTCGTGCTATAGCTGATGGAAGGTCAGCATCCCGACAGTCACAGGCCCCAAAAGCATGAACTGGATGTGGAGCATCCACCTTTACAAAAAGAGCACCAATTAGTTTCTCATTTCGGCACTCTCCATCTAATTGGGCTCTAGAGTCTAGAGGCTATCAAACTCCTGCAAGCTGTTGCTTCATCATGTATACCTGAAAGTGCTCACTCTGTTCTAGCTCTCAGTTAACCCGGGGGACTTGATTGTTTCTACTTTTTATGTTCACGTACCCCTTTTCGCGAACTGGGTTAACTACAGTAGCTCGCTGTCAACAGCATCAAGTATGCACAAAAGGCTTCCCCAAGCAAGTGTGATCTTATGTTCCGTTGGCTTTGTATTACGGCTGTTACATTACCAGGGGGAATGCCTAGTGCAAAAGGTAACCTGCGAAAAGCATCTACCAGTGCAAAGTCGTCGATTTGTTGTACTCTTTTTCTTGCAAGCTGTTGTTTCATCTTGTACGACAAAGCACTGAACTTGCATAACCTACGGCTGACCCGGGGAGATCAATTAAAACCTTCTCGCGGTAGCAGGCAAAACATAGCCAGGACAAATACCCCACCGGTTGCACATGAGCTTTCAAATCGTCCTATTACCTACCCTAGCGTGTTCGTTTTGTTGGTCAGAAGGAGGGGGGATTGTCAGTAGCCGTAGTAAACCTTTGCTTGAATACCGGTCAATGGGGGACATGACATCCTGTTCTGCTTTCTTTTTGCAGTACTGTATAACTGTATTGTGTTGTTGTGTTGTTCACAACATCCCCGGACCGAACAAGCAGAACTGCTGAAAGTGTGTAGTCCAAATACCTGGGGGATCGTACGTGTCGCAATGCATTGTGTTATCGTACTTTTACTGTTGCCCTCTGTAAACTGATCCACCAGGGGGATAAACAACCACGTAACCTTTTCACACTCCTCCAAAGTCCCCACAAAATTTGGGGGGGCCCTAGTGGCCGAGGGGTCTTAACAACCCCTCATGCCCGGCGGAAGAAGAGAGAGAGCACGTGGTGTAGAGGGTAAAACCCCTACACCATGACGAAAGAAAAGAAAAAAGAACAACAGAAAGAACGAAGGAAATAATGAAAGAAAGAGAGAGAGAGAGAGAGAGAGCATGTACTTAAGGGGGATGACTGCTGCCGTGCCATACTTTTCACAGCCACACTGAGCCGCACGGGGAGCCTAAGATGTGCAGTGGTGTTCTTACGGCTAGCTAGGTCCTGTTTGCGAGGAAGGCTCCTAGTGCACACACGAGGGGATGTTTCTGGTTACCGAGCTGTAAACCTCTGGATAGGTGCCATAGGGGCGCGGGGAAGAGGCGGGTTGGGGTTGTTTTAGTGTACGGGGTCGGGGGTTACAGCTCGCGAATCTGGAACATACTCGGTAGTAAGTGCAACGGTCAGTGGCGCCCCAAAGCCGTCCACTCAAACCCACGGGGTGGACGGGCGGGCTGAATGCCTGAGGGTCACGACGTGACCCCTAAGCCCGGCAGAAAGAAAGAAAAGAGAGAGAGAGAGAGAGTTTTTGGCTCCAGTCTCGGGAAATGGGGGACCCGCCCCCCCTGTGCCCACCGGGGCTTGAGCCACACACCGACGCCGTTTCTCAGACAAGATGCCCCCTCGCCCCTCCCTTTCAAGTTCGCGCGCCTCCAGGCCATGAACGGACCATCACTTCAAAGTTGCTTCTGCCAAGATTCGCTTCAGCTCAGTTAACAAGTTGTGGAAAACAGGAGGGCCTTTGTCTGAACGAAACGAATTAGATGCTGCAGTTTTGTCGCGGTGGAAGCCGCCGGGGCGAGCACCCTGAATTAGCCTTGACTTGGCCTTGGAGCACTGTCGTGCGCGGGCGCGCTCTCAACCTCACATGCTTGAACCCACAGCTACCACTGGGGGGGACGGCGGACTGGCGGAGGGAGATTGCGTAGCCGGCCGACTGTTGGGGCAACGACTCTACACACAAATGGTTCCTCATGGTAATCCCATTTTGTAAGGGTCGGCCTTCGCCTGGCCCAGGGCGTCCGCGAATTTGGCGCATGCATGATGTGGGTGGTTGTCAAAATTATGATCTTTTTTTGGGTGCCCTAAATATTAGGTGCCGTATTTTAATAAGGACCCAAAAAAGGGACCCTAATTTTGACAACCACCCATGTATGTTACCTTAGGCTTCCAAGGACCTGATTCTTGGGTCCTTGAGGGGCTTAGGGCCCTAACTATAACATCCGTGGAAGCATAGATTAATGCAAGCAATGGGAAAGGAATACAACGGAAAGCATCGACAAAAAAACAGATAGAGACTGGGTCAGACAGCACGTCTCTACTCGCGGGAGTGAGCCGGCAGCAACAAGGCCATACCGGCTTGGCGCACAAAAAGGTTCGAGATGAGCATAGCGAACTCTAATTACTGCAATCGGGTCCATCACCGTCTTCGGGCAGCGTTGGCTAGCTAGTTCCACAACCTTGCGCGTGAAAACGATGTCGCCAGCCGTATACCTCAGAGGCCTTATATTAATCAATTACCTATACTATGTTGGTAGAAAAATCCACAAAACCCTATTCTACTTACTCAAGCCTCTATATGACAACACTTATATGACCGACAGATTCCCCAAACGGGGACTGGTTAAGGGGTGCCCCTGCAGCGTGGCACTCGCCAAGGCATACTTGTTTCGGCTTTTGCAAGGTCTGGCAGTTGATTTTCCTGATGCTGACCTTGGTAGTTTTATTGATGACTTGGCTTTTGACCTTTGTGGTGAGGACCCTGAGTCGCTTGCGGTGCGCGTCACACACAGTTGTACTTCGCTGTTGCGCGAGGCTTGCAGCGTCTTGGCTTGGAGATAAATGTTGGTAAGTCGGGTTTCTTATGTAGTAGTGGTGCTTTGAAGCGAGCTTTACGGAGTTTGCACTCTCGGATCGGCGCTCGGCTCCCACGGCCTCGCGATGTCCTGCGCGACCTTGGAGTTGATAACACCGCCGGTCGCTTGCGTCGACTTGATACGTTCAAGAAGCGGATGACCAAAGCTTTGAGACGGGCTGGTAAGTTACGCCAACTCCCCAGAGGAGTGAGAGCTACCCTGGTCCAAACCATTGTCTTGGCTTCTGGCCTTTGGGGTGTTCAAGGTAATGGGATTGCTCCCTCTGTGTTGAAGAACTTCCGAAGTCAAGTAGGGTCCAAGGCTGCTTTCCGACACCGGCTTGGCTGTGGGCTTGTGGCGTGGAGACTTGCAGCTGAGTCGGAGCAGGATCCTGCGCATCGGGTTTTGGCGCAGTTGCTTTCTGGTTTCTTTGAAGCGTTGCAGCGACTGTCCCCCTCCATGTTGGGGCTGGCGGCTCAGAGCTGGCGTGTTGCAAGAGATAAAATCTGGTCCAAACACGCCATTGGCACTACGCTCGAGGCCCCCTTACTAGCGTGTTGTGCGTGTTGAAAGACTTGAGATGGCAGGCTCCAGAAATTGATGATTGGAGAACTGCTACAAGTGATCCTGTTCGGATTGAGTTTGATTCTCCGGTCAGTGTTTATAGGGTGACGGCGCTTCTGCAGGAGGCGCAAGAAACTGCGTTCTGGCAGTTTGCCTCGCGACACCAAGGCGGCAAGGGCCTCGAAAGTGGGTGGACCTCACATGACCTCACTGTTGTGCAAAGGTTCTTGAAAACTCTGCATAACCGGCGTGAGGAGTACTGTGCTGCTGTTGCTGTTGTGAAAGGTTCACTCCCTACGCAGCACAACGGCTGCCGTGACACTTGCCCCTTTTGTGGTTCCCCAGCCCCTTCTTTGAAACACATGCCGTATGAGCGTGACCAGCTGGAGCCATCGCCGCCAGCAGAATGGCTTAGTTACTTGGGTGACCACACACAGCAAGCATGTTGGATGCGGGGTGTGACTCCCGCTGCGTTCCGAAGGTCTGCTTGAGCACGTAGAAGTCGGTGGCTTGCGGGCTGATACAGCAAAGGTGGATGGCTCCCAGTTTTTCTTTGGTGTGGATGCCAGTGGAGGTTCCCGTAGCAAAGACCCTCGTACTCGCCTCTGTAGTTGGGGCATTTCGGCCGTGGCCTTGAGCACCAGCGGCAAATGGCATCGAGTTGCTTGGAAAAGTGGCTTGCTCCCAGGGCGGAAGCAAACGGTTGCTAGAGCTGAGTTGTATGCACTCGTGCAGCTGTTACGGCACACATCAGGCCCCATCTCCTTCTCTAGCGATTCTCAGTTGAACATGAAATTGTTTGAACGTTTGGTATCCACTCGTCGCTTGCGTCCCTCATGGTCGAATCTTGATCTGTGGTATGACGTGCGTGAAGCTTTGCTGCAGCGGTGGCTGCGAGGCACTTGGGTGAGGTCACACCTCACTTTGCCCTTGCTTGACGCTGAGTTTGGACCAGATCTTGGTTGGGCTTATTTTAGTAACGCTTACGCCGACGAAGCTGCCTTAGTTTTTAGTCGTTGGTTGGATCGGCAGCCTTTGTTGTCCACGTGGGTCGATATCCGCAAATGAGGTTTGATACCAGGAGCTGGAAAATCCTTGAGTACTTAACGCCTAGAGCGGTGAACATCCTCCGAGCCCCGTGGGAGGCTCGCAAGCAGGGCCCCCAGGCTCAGGGGTAAACCTAGCGGCAGCAGGGTAGAGGGTAGAAGAACGTAGAATTTGCAGCAATGGAGGGACAAGAAAATTCGAACGAGGGGGCACCGCAGAGTGCCAACGAAAACGGACCAGTGAGGAGAAGCCTCGAAGATGATATGACGCTGGCAGTGGAACCGCAGTCAAAAAGGAGCAAAGGCAGAAGGCAATGGTCAGGCAAGCTTCCCGACACAAGCACTCCAATCAGACCTACGACAGGGACTAAGACACCAATCCGCAAGCGCACGGAGGACAAGCCGCAGCATGAGAAGATCATACAGGCAATCGATGACAAAGTAGATGATATCACGGAGCAGTTCAAGTCAATCCGCCTTAACTTTGACAAGATCCAGGACAGACTGGAAGAGTGTTGTGATGACCAGTATGTGTTTCGCAAGCAGCAGCTATGGGCACTACAAGCGCAGGTACGTGAGCAACGCGACAAAGCCGCAAAGGAAGAATGCATGGTGGGGTGGCCAGCTTCCGCAACAGCTACTCAGCGTACGGAGTTCGTGCAATGGTGTTTGAAAGAAGCAGCCATAGACAGTTCCTCATGCGACATCTCTCACTCAGTGAAGTACCAGCAACTTTCTCCCATGACCATCCTTACCTTCAAACATCCGTCCTTACGCATACAGATGGACAAGTGGTTCAAGGAGGAATACATCAACAAGACGAAGGCTTTGAATTTTTACATGGACGGGCAGTACACTACTGATACCGTCAAGCTTCGACCACAAGTAGCGGTATGGGACAGAATCAAAGGCGAACCATTGAAGATCTGCTTGAAAGCCATGGACATAGCCAATCGAAATGGAAAGAGTCAAACCATGGTGGAATCACAACGCCATCTACGACGACTACTACACCTTCGCTTGGATCTACTTTAGCGTACGCGATGTACAAGCCATTGTGTATCTAGACCAATCCATCTACAAAGCAGTGAAAGATACCTGGGCTGAGGCAGCACAAGCTCTAAGAACCAGGATTCCGACCGAGCCAGCTTCAAGCTCACAGTCAAAGGGTAAAGGAAACAGCAAAGGCAAAGGCAAGTCGTTCGACACGACTCTTGGCGAGTACCCTTTCGAGTTCAAGCTTGCAGAAGTGAAGGATTGGCACTACGATCGCGATGTCAGGGCGCACCAAGAGCAAGCACGTGATGAAGACATGTGACTAGCCCCTAAGCAAGACAACAGGACAGGTGACAGTTCAAAGTTCATTTCTAATCTCGCTTCTAATTTCGCTTTTAATCTGCAGTCTCCCGGACAGCTTTCGCGTGACAATTGTTCTGATACTAACCCCCCACATCCTATTCATGTTTCTACATGCGAAGCCCGTGAAATTGCATCCAACACAAATGCTGCAAATCAAAGGTGCTCAGACGAGACCCTCACGCTAGATCCTACGCCCACACATGGCGAGCCGGTTCAGCCGCGGAAGCGCTTTAGTTTCCAGCGGAGTCAAAGTAGGAACCCACCCAGGGCTTCGAACATACGAAGTAGGAATAGCCATAAGCGCTGTTTGAGGAGCTTTATTCGATGTAGAGAGCGAAATCGTGGCAAAAAAACGCGGCTGAATAGGCGTATGTTCCGTAGTTTCAAACAGTGGTACCTCAAATTCGCTATCAGAAGCAGAGGACAAGCCCAAGAAACGAGGAGGCGGCATAGGCGGCATAGCAACACAAACAAATGGAAGAAGCTGAATAGAACGGAAAGAAAACGTTTGTTTGAACAGTTTAAGAAAAGGGATAAAGGGGCGGCAGAGCCCACTCAGCTAACTTACAGCAGGCCTATAAAAGCAGCAACCCTTAACGTCAGAGGGTTAGTAGGGGAAAACGCACTGACTAAAGAGAGCATATTGGTTGACATCATGAAAACACAAGGCTATGACATTATGCTATTGCAAGAGACCAATGTTAATACTAGCTGCACCCGGGTTGTCAATAAGCACACCTTTTATTACAGCTCCGACGTCAAGCAGAAAGAGATAGAAAAAACCAAGAAAAATCTTGAAGATGCAAAGGCAAGAGGTAAAGGCAAATCTTCAGTCCAGCGGACTGATGTCGAGCGAGCTGGCGTAGCCATCATTGTCTCACCGTTTATCAAACATTTCGTGGGTGATGTCAGGCAAGTGTCGGGCAGGATCATTACGGTAAAGCTGAAATCCAAGGGTAGAGACATATTTTTTACATCCTGCTATGCCCCGCATAGTGGTTACGACTCCGAGACTAAGATCAAGTTTTATGATGATTTAAGAAGTTGTTGTAGAAGTAGGCCGGTTCACTTTATCGGGGGCGACATGAATGCCAGACTTCACCACCGAATGCAAGCAGAAGCAACAGTGCTCGGACCACATATCTTCGGTAGAGGTTTGGACTATCTGAACACAGTGTCGGAGATGACGCTTGAGAACAGAACCTTATTCACCAACTTCTGTTTACATCAAGGTTATTGTGCATTGAATACTTATTTCAGTAAGCCTGCCACAGAATACTGTACTTTTAGAGAAAACACCACAGTGCATGGCCCGGCGTGGTCTCCGACAAGATACGCGCAATTAGACTTTTGGTTGGCTAACGAAAGGTTTAAGAAGAGTTGTAAAGATGTAAGATCTAGGACGGACTTGCATTTCCCTTCTGATCATTATATTGTGGAAGCAGTGTTCGCGGTCAAACTAACGGGCAGCAGTGGAGGGCAAGTCCGTCCAAGAGCGGTAAGGTTTCGGCAGCCAACCGATGCAGAATGGAAGAACTACAACGACAAACTGAGTTGTTTTTTACCTGAGTTAACACACAAATTCAGTAACGAATGGCAGAATGCACCTGCTGGTATTGCGAAAATAGCTTCAGATTGCCTGACCCCTATCATGAATTCTCAAAAACAATCCCATATTTCTAGGCATACTTGGCAGTTAATAAACCGCAGACAGCAGGCGCATGAACAAGGAAGAATCGACGAAACGAAGGTGTTGTCAGAGGAGATCAAACAAAAAGCCAAAAAAGATAAAAAAGATGCTCTTATTAATAGCCTAGTCAACCTTGAAGATCAAAGGGAGAAGTGGCAAGGAATTAAAGGAATGAAAAAAGAAGCTTTACCACGGTTTCTACAAATGAAAGATGATAACGGTCAGCATGTAGCACCTAAGGATAGAGCGGAGTGCATAGCTAAATACTTGGAGCAAAAGCATTGGCAAAATGATAATACTGTGAGAATTCAAAGGTTGGATAAGATACATGATTCTGAAGCAGTGTTCAACACAAGCCCGTTCCTGAAGGATGAATATGACTTAGTCTTAAAAAGTATGAAAAGAAACAAGCAACCAGGACCTGATGGCCTTGTAATGGAACTGTTCAAGTGGATGAACCATGCAAATAGAACGTTAGTTCTTGCACTTATCAATATTTGGTGGTGCAACAAATCGGCCCCGAACGATATCTTCTTAGCAAGAGTAGTCCCTATATACAAGAACGGTGATATTGACATGCCGTCAAACTACAGGCCTATATCATTATTGAATTCCGTTTATAAGATTTATATGTGTCTGATACGCAATCGGCTGCAAAGTGTTATGGAGATAAAGTTGTCAAAAACACAATACGGCTTTCGCCCAGCGCGGAGCACGTCTCATGCGATATATGTCACCAGACGCACGCAAGATATTGCTGAACAACGAGGTAGCAATCTAATCATTACTATGTTAGATTGGGAAAAGGCTTTCGACAGAATACAACATGACAGAATGGCGATAGCCTTTAACCGGCTCGGTATTCATCCACATTTCATTGATGCAATAATGGATTGTTATAGTAATCCCCGATTTTTTGTTGAGGATGAGTATGGGAAATCCGTTATAAAGCGACAAGGTGCCGGCATTCGCCAAGGATGCCCTTTGTCTCCGTACTTGTTTGTGTTAGTAATGTCCGTTATTGACCACGACATCAGCTGTAATATAAATCAGCGCACGGTGAATTCCAGATTTGACGGTGTAGATTTCGATAGAGTTTACTATGCGGACGACACCTTACTCATCAGTACCAATACACAGGCTGCCAATAATTTATTACACGAAGTAGAAGCAGTGTCTGCGCAATTCGGATTACGTCTTAACAGGGAGAAATGTTGTTACGTAGCTATGAACGGTCATAATGTCGTCAAATTTGCTGATGGTACCAGGTTGAAAAGAGTAAACGAAGCCACGTATTTAGGACATCAAATCACACAAGCTATTGATATAAGACATGAAATCAACCACAAAATGCATGATACATTAAAAATTTGGTATAAGCTAACCAGTTTTTGGAAGGCTGTGCAGTGCCCATCGCACTGGAAATTACATGTCTATGATGCCATCATCAGAAACAAACTTCTATATGGCCTGGAAACTGTTCATCTAACGCAATCGATGCAGAAGAAAATATATGCGTTTCAGTTGAGAGGAATTAGAAGGATCTTAGGGATAGATAGTACTTATGTGAACCGCGCAAATACAAATGAATCTGTATTGAGGAAAGCGAATGCGGAAATGAAGAAGTACAAACCCAGCAGCAAAGAAATCAAGCTGTTTTCGGAGTTGGTTCGAGAGAAGCGTATTAAACTAGCTGGCCATATTCTAAGAACCAGTGAGGAGGACCCCTTAAGGCAAGTTAGCTATAAGCCCAACTCCGCGAACACGTTCGAGATTGGCAAAAGGAGGGCCGGAGGACCGAGACAGAATTGGTTAGTGTACACTAACAAATATATTTGGGAAGATAAGGTTTCCAATCCTCCGACTCAATATGTTTCTTGAGGTGAGCAAAACCAACGAATTTTCGATGACGGCAGAACCCGCCAATTTTAAGCCGCCCCTCGTGCCCACGGTCTCACTTCTTTCTGCCTAAGAAGGCAAGGGACTTTGGCCCAGAAAAAAAAAAGCCTGCCACCCGTAGAGAGTTTCTTGAGAATCTGCCAACTCTTTACCCGCATCACTCTTGGAAAATAGGCAATACTTCATCCTTCTCTAGCTGTCGGACTTGTGGGCTTCGTGTTAAAGACAAGCGAGGGGGTGAAGAACTGGCTGCAGGCCCGTGCTACCGAACTACTCTTGACTGGGTTGGTCGTGGAGTCCATCCTAGCCATGAGTTGGATTTTATAGACCAGCGGCACGGCTGGCGGTGTCGGTTTTGCCGGCGGAGTTTGAAGCCGCATAGTCGGGAGGCTGCTTGGTTTCGGTTGTCGCGGGTTTGTCGTAGGGCCTAGGTCTTCGGTGTTGTACGGCTTTTTGCTGAGTTTCCAGTCACAAAGGCGGCCTTGGGGGGCTGCCCCAGGCTGTTTTGAAACAGGTGCGGGACTAATTACAGCACGTTTTTGACGGGGCGACGGAGCCTAGCCGGACATAGCCGGACACAGCAGCCACCTGGCCCAGCGCTCAACCCAGGGGGGCGCCAAGACAGTGGCAACAGTAGCACCTTCTACGACGACCCGGCGGAGATCTCACTGTATGGTTGCCATGAGGACCACACAGGTGTGAGAGGGCCCACGTCAGAGGATGAAGCCGGGGCGCAGAGTGAAGAAGCGGAAAGGGAGGCTGCCGAGGAGTACGGGGTGCAGCTCACCTGATCGGAGCGGCTAGGAGCCGCAGCAGAGCTCTGCGTACTGTGACCTGCATCGTAGTCGAGAACGTTTTGTGTTTTGCGGTTTGGACCTTAGCGGGGCGGTAGACGACCCACATGTCGAAGTGTCTACGAAGAAAGCACCGTGAGAGTTGTAACCTGGAAATCAACCATCTAGTCAGACCCTCTGCTGTACTGCACTTCGACCTACCCGAAAGAGCCGAGCCCCATGGATTGTGCTGTGTACCATACCTGACTAACCACTTTGTGTTGCTACTTCCAACGGGGCGAGGCCAACTTCAGGTTCCCAAACCAAAGAATCTTTCGCATGTAATACCATGCGCACCGCCAACAACGGGCAGTCCCACGGTGGGGGGCTTGCCCCTCTAGCCTGGCGAAAGAAAGAGAGAGAAAGAGAGAGAGAGAGAGAGAGAGCGATCAATGTGTGTTCCAGTTGCCGAACGAAGCTGCTTTAGCTTAAGCACTGGGTGCCGTGGGTCATTGCCTGCAACATATTCGTCCCGGGGCGATGACGCGCGCGGTGTAGGGGGTAACACCCCTACACCATAGCCCTGGCGAGCGAAAGAGAGAGAAAGAGAAGAAACCTACGCAACAGTACACACTGCAGACTCATGTCATGCTTAACCTCCCAACACCTCAAAGAAAACATGCAGCACGTAAAACTCAGCATAAGTGCATACACCTCCGCACAGAACACTCACCAAAGACGCCGACTGGCAGCAGGACGCCTCTTCGCTCCCGTGATTGTACATGCACCCTTCTCCATCTCCTGTTTCGCTTGGTCAGGGCAAGGCCGGCGGAAAGCCACAGCGGAGCGCAAAGGCCATCGGGTGAAAAACAAATGCTCCATCTTCTGCACAGGAAGGGCGCAGAGTCCCAGTCTTGGACGAGGCTGCGAAACACCCGCCACGAGTTACACGAAACCACCCTGCATCTTCACCTGCGGACATACACTTCGCATGGAACCGGCCCTTGATTCTCGGTTGTATGCAGCTACGCTGGACCCAAACTCCCATCCACTCCTCACTCCCGCTCTCGTTACTCCTGGCTCACTCCTCGCCCCAGGCTCCTCACTCCTCAGATACTGTGCCGACCACGACCCGAGCACGAGCAAGGTCATTTCACCTGATGCACTGAGCATGAACTGGCCACGCGGCTACTCGCAGCCAGTCGCAGTGACTGGCTTTTTGCTGAGGCCGCGGCTTTGCGAGCCGGTTGTGTAAACAAATTCGAAGGAACATTGACAGAGATTGGATGAGCCCCGTGCACAAATTCAGGGTGGGTGAGCCGCCGAAGTCTGACGTGGATCCCTGCACGCCAGCTTCTGTGTATCTGTGTTTGAGAGTGATAGCCGGTGATAGCATGTTATGCATATACAGATACACTGCATGATACTGCTTGTAGCTGTGATGCATCTGATGCCTCCGTGAGCGCTTCCTGCCCTGAGTTCCTGAGGATCCCACAAACCCGTGGGCCGAAGATGTCCTGCGGCTTTGCGAGAAGCAAGGTCAAGAAGTCGCGGGCGCGCCCGTTAGACGATGCTCTCAGAATGCAGTCGCACGTTGCTACGACTAGGCCGCTTCGACTTGAGCCCAGCCATGGTCGGGAACTGAGACGTCTCCGGCCCTGAGAGTGAAACAGCCGCTGATGTATGATGTATGCATATGCGGCAAATGTGGCAGGCGGGGCGCCGCATCAGTATGCCAACTTGGGGCTACTCTGCGCAAGCATTTTGATCAGGACACCAGGCTTTTTCACCCGGCACCTGCAACGCGCACACTGGCTTTCAAAGCAATGCCGAGTCACCAGGCACAGCTACATGTAGTGACATGTAGAGATTGTAGAGAATTAGTCGTGCGATGCTTGGGCAAATGCCTCTGGCGTCGTTACGCCATGGCTACTGGCCGAAAGTTCGCTTGCCAGCTGCAAACACTTGCGCGGCAAGCTGTTCCAAATTAGGCCGTTGTCAAGGCTATTTGATAAACCCGTACGATGCTCTGCAATGCGAATAATGCGAGCATGGAAGTTCACCTTCAAATACGAGCATGCTTCAGACATTTTCCGCAGCGCATTGTAAATCGCAAAGGCGACGGAACCTGTGATGGGTGCGGCTTGACACAGGATGCGATTCTGGCGGGTGTCCGGCGGGCATGCCAATGTCGGGCAGTCTCCCGAACCTCAGCTTCTGGCGGCAATGGAACCCTCATGGCAAAGCTGCAAGGCCTCTGAGGCTGCCGCAGATGCCGCAGGCCGCAGGCTCATACCGCCTGTCATATAGTCCGAGAGCAAGAAGTTACAGTATGCAGCCGGCTACGCAGCGTTCGCTACAGTCAGCTAAGCAACACTGCTCCCACCCAAGTAACGTTGAAGTATACATGGAAAGATCAGCGGCACTTTCTGAAGCCGGAGCCTGGGAGGCACGCAGTGTCGTTCCATGTTGCTCCGTCGTCTTGTCCATCTGGATTGGCCAGATTCTGGTCATCCGGATAAGCCTGCTGATCATCAGGCACTGTTTTCAGCACCTTTGGCTTTCGAATGATCGCCTGTTTACACGCGGTTGCTTCGTGCGCTCTCGCACAAAGGACTGTGTGATGAGCGCATGATTCGACCACCTGCAGTGCAGTCTCAGAGTGTATGGAACTCCATTCTTTTTGCAGGGAAGCGTACTTGAGCCCAGATGTAATCAGCCAGCTTAGAGATGTCATTTGATTCCGGGGCCCAGCACTGCTGTTGCAGCCTGTAGAGAAATTGAACTACCGTGAATTATCGAACGAAGCGGAAACATGGCTATGCACCGTGACGGGATCAGTGCAGCGGTGGCCTTGCTTTTCGAGTCTCCCGGCATGTTGCGAGATGGCTCGAGTTCGCTGCAGCCAGGCTGACCCCTGGCTGTAGCAGGCGACACCTCTCCCTGGGTTGGTACAGACATACAGAAGAGACATGTTGGATTTCTCTGAACATGCTGGGTTTCCGATTAAGATCCCTCAAAGAGAACATGTCGCCAATGGCACAACTTCTTGACGATGGGAGTGATTCCTTCTGGCCGGAAGCCAAGTGCCATCTTCGATTGTCGTGCCGAGTCGTGCCATCCGTGCAATGGGCCGTCAAATCATGCTGACGACACATGAATGCAGAACAACCTGCAGGAAATTACTGTTTCGTTCACTCGTTCGCTAGTTAGAGCTGCTTATGAACTTCCGCGGCTTTTGTTGCAAGCATGCCGGGGGTTCGGTCGTGTGTCCCTACATCTGCCATGAAATGTGAGGTCCAATCCCACGTGGCTGAAGCCATCTTTACCATCTGCGATCTCCGAGGAGGCTTGCTGATACCACCGCATAGATGTACACAGTGACGCATACAGTTGGCCAGAATGGGACGGGTGTACACGCAGAATCCAGCAAGCTACTAAATTTACTGGTGCTTGCATTGAATACAGATGCTGGATGTCATGCCTGGCTGTCGAGCACAGACTTAGAAGAAGTCTAAGCATCGGCATCGCTTGAGCACTGTAATGTGAACACGTGTAAGGATCTCCTGGGCGTGTGGGCCGACTCGCTTGGCAATGCGGCATCCTGGCAGCTCTGTGCTCTGATTTCTGGACTGTGCAAAGCTGCAAGTTGGTTCAACATCTTGAAGGTATACGTGTCTGCTGGGACTTCTTCACAGCCAAAGCTGGATGGGTCCTCGGCAGTGCCTGAAGTAAGCTCCTTTGTCGTCGGTACTTTCTCAAACTATGCCCTCAGGAGGCAGTGCTGGCAAAGCCGCCGCGAGACGACATCCACTTGTCCATGAGGCTTCCTGTCGGTGTCCATCCTGTTGGGCCTGAATTGCAACGTCGTCGATTAAACGGATTCAGTGCCATGAGTCTAGAGTCTAGCATATGTTAAGCCAAACCTCTTGCTTCCTTAGTTGCCATCGGCTATGATGCTGCATGGATCATCACGTATCCCTCTGAGTGCAGTCCAGGCCCGACGAGGGAAGTGGATGGATCTGTGGCAACGCCACGTCAAGAGCTGAGTCCACGCAAAACTTCAATCACGTCTGTCGCTTCTTACCGACCAGCTCCAAGCAAGCACGAAGGCAGCGCGAGGACTCAAAGACAATCAGGCACACACAGGCTAGGAGAATTCTGCGCAGTCATCGGACCAACCTCAGTGTGTGCTCCAAAATATGTGCATGCATGGTGTTATGTCCATTCCTGTTTTGGGCAACCTTCTCGCTTCAACACATAGGTCCATAGCTGTTGGATGTGAGTTGAGTCGAGTCTGTGATGTAATCCCCTTCCTTTCGTGCAGTCAGTCAATCCAAACTCGAGATTTCACAAAAAGTGGTGGATGCAGAGTGTCACGAAACGGTTTCCCACTGCACTCACTGCATTTTGGAAGAAGGAAGCTGACTGCCATCGCAGCCGCCTGTCCCAGGTTGGATTTGGTCAGGAGTTCTTCATCAATGCTGCACTGGCCATGCTGGCACGTAAATCCGTCATCCAACAGTGCGTCTGTAGATTCTGTGACTACGATATGCCCCATTTCGCGGAGCGTAACCTGCGCACTGATGCTAAATCTTCATGTCGTGGAGCGGTTGGTGTTCGCCAAGTGCGCTTGATCAAGGAAGGTAAGTCCTCACCTCACAATGCCGACAGGTTCAGTGCGATAATTACTTCCAATACATCACCGATAGGAAGATGGCTTCATTCATGCGCAAACTTCGTAAGGTTGGAGACTCGGCCGGTCGTTTGGGTGTTTCTCTGAGATCCCGAGAGGTTCACAATCGTGCGACAAAAACTTCTCTCAGTCTCGCGTCCTGGCCCCGCAACATTGCTTTGTCGAAATGCTTCTGAGAAAGCTTTTAGAGTTTCGGACAGTCGAAGTCGTGCCCTGTTTCTTTCTCGCCAGGGTGGCACGGGATGGCCGAGTATCTGTTTGGGCAGCAACCTCAGGGAGAAGCTTGCAGGCTAGAGTAGAGGTTCGCTGCCATCACAGGTCCAAGCATGCTCATGTGCATGGTACACTGCGCCGAAATCCGAAAGCAGCTATTCAGCGTAATCTGGTGAAGCCGCCGACGTATGCGCAGGGCGTTTAGACAGGGTATTTGCAAGGTGCGCTTGGAAAACGTGGACCAGGAAGACGTGGACCAGGACAACAGCTCCTGAACTCCGCAGCTCCTATCAGTGGAACGCGATGGAACAAGCAACACTTTGCTGTTCGAGTTGGAAGTCTTTGAAAGCTGTGTTGTTTTTAATTCGCTTTAAAGCTTGCCGGTCCGTGCGCGCGTGCCAAAGCTGTCCAATCCTCTAAGAATGAGGCGGTGTAATTTGCTGCAATATGGCGCAGTGTCTCAGTTCAAAGTGTGGTGCACTGCGTGTAGCAGCCGTCTGCCGGACGGCCCGGTCCAAAAGCCTCTAAAGTTCGTGATGCTTGGGCTGCCTTCTGCCTGAGCACGCAACGTTGTAGTAGTTGTAGTATGAACTTTAGTTTCACGGTGGATGGCTTCGGTGAATGGCACCTCCCCAACTCCCAGCTCAGGTGAATCCTTAGCCTCAGAACTGAACCGTTGGCCAGACCAGCCCCGTGCACTCTGCTTTTCTTCTCCCCGCGTCAGTTTAGTGTACATGGCCGCCAGACTATCGGGAGCAATGATCAGTGGTGACGTCAACGCCTATAGTTTATCTGTTTCTGATGTCTTCTTTTGTCGAAGTCTGGCCACTTTACCTCATAATCCAGACAGATGTTTAATGCCGCCTTGGCACTTTCCAAAGCAAGATGCACTGCTCCAGGGTTCTCATGCAGTGGTGCACGTAGTGGCACAGAGTGGCACGGTGCTAGCTTTGGCAAGTGCGTTAAGAGTCTGCGAAGTTCGCGGCTGGGCCGTGCCTGCGAATTTCAGCTTTCCAGAGCCGAGCCGGAGCTCATTGACGCTGATGGTGACGGTTCCACGGCTGTGACATGCAACCCACATCCAGCCGCTTTGCGTTGGTTGCAGTTCCGTTATGCATTGTCTTTGACTGATTCAAGATGAATTCGGATCATCAGAGACGAGCGCGAAGGAGCCTCTTCGCACTCCTGTGCCTTGTCAACAGTGAAGAACCTGATTCAGAATGAGAGCGCGGCAGCTTCCGAGGAAAAGACAAAAGACAAGAGGGCTGCCACAGTCACAGTCACCAGAAGTGAGCGCAGCCGACCAACTGAAGCTTCCTCTGCGCAGCTGGAACCAGTCAGGGCAGCATGTCGTACATGTGCGAACCAATGCCAATCAGATCTCGAAGGGCACATCGAGACTAGGAACCACAGAGGATCCACAATACGCTTTTTATGCATCTTCGAATCGATCGAATTACGTCGGAAACGTCCATTCGCCCTTTGCACAGTCGCAAGTTTTCCGAATCTATATGCAAGCTTTACTGTCATCGCGATGCTTCGCACTTCACGATGGTGGCAGGCAGAGTCGCTGGCACAGTGGAGGGCACTTGCAAGATGTCTCGAGCTTTTGAGGCGGCCGGCGAGCTCCGACGGTTCCGTCCTGCGCGAAGAGGTATTGGACACGTTGCTCCGATCTCGGTCGTGCGTTTAGCCAGGGCTGTAGGAACATCGCATGGGTCTCAAAGAGAGCTGGTAGTGAAGTCAATTCAACGGAACTCTGACATGTGGCCTTGTCTTCGTCTACGATTGGGCACGACAGGATGTCTCCGACTGCTGTGCTTCAGTCTCCGACTGCTGTGACTGAAGCACCAGAGAACACAAAACGACAAAAGCACCAGGACGTGTCCACGACACAGCACGCCGGAAATAGGGTGGTCACGCATTGTGCATCTCACAGACAGCAGCGAACCGACTAAGGCTTCCGTTCGCGAAGTGCAAGAGCTCTCTACTGCGAAGGCATGAGCACAAGGGTTTGATTCGTGCAGGGCTCGAGCTCAACAGCTAAGGCAGCACCAGTCTTGGCAGTCTTTACAGCGTCGTGGTGCCAACCCTGCAGCAGCCTCGGCCGGACGAGTTGGCATAAGGCCAAGCTATGCAAAGCAGCTGTGCCGTGCATGTTTCTGGCAAGAAGTAGCCCTATGAAGCCGGATGCTTACAGCACGGTGTCCTTCCACACAACCACTGCCTGTGAAATCGCATGTCTTAGGGTCTTGACCACACCCGAGGTCGTAGGAAGCGAGCAGCCCGTTTCGGAACAGACTAGCCGGTGGGCGCGCTACGAACATGGTAACATGGTCGATGAGGGATGCTGAAGTTCACGTCCGATGCAGTGGAATTCGTGAATGTTTGCGGGGGCCTTTCGGCGCCGTGGGCCCAGACCCGCAACACGTCATAATCCAGACCAGGAGCACCAAGGTGAAGCCAGGCGGGCCACCGCCATCGTCACCATTCCATCGCATACATCGCCGGCATCATCGTCAGCATCACCGTCAGTATTATGATCATGGTCATGGTCAGGGTCATGACCGCCATGATCATCCTTGACCACGAGTTCATGCTTTCTGGAGTCGCAAGCCTGTTGTCTTGGAGTTTGAGATGCCTGTTCGCGCAAGGCACATGTGCACTCAGCGGTTTCGCAGCTCCTGCCATCAGACCCGGTTCGTTCGGCCGCATCCGCCAAGCCGCCGAATCCATCGTTGGTTTCGTGTGATCTAACATTTGGTGGGAACTCATGAACCGCACTTTCCGTGCTCCATCGTGCTCTCATCACAGTGCTGTATGTGTTTTGGGGTCCGCGGTTCCGTGCATGACCCCCCTGCCGAAACTGCCCTACCGTGGCGCTTTGTGTGGTTTGCGTAATTGGTGTTTGCACAATCGGCAGTAGTTGCAAAGGTCTTTACAATCACAGCGAGTGATTGAAAGCATGTCTGATAGCAATGATAGCACGTGTTCAATGTGGTGTTTCTGTGAATGTCGACCATTGTCTCTCGAGTCTCGAGGTCCTCTTTGCTATCTTAGACTCTCGTCGAAGCAGGCCATAAAAATCGTGCTCCCGCCATAATCCTATTTCCATCTGCCGAAATCGCAGTGTCTGCTTCGGGGTACCATCGGTACTCCCAGCACACTGTGGGAAGACTTTAGGTGGTCTCGGGAGCCTTCAGGGCGCTTGGAGGCTCCCAAATTTGTTTCATTGTTTGGAACTGCGGACGGGCACCAAAACTCAGGTGCTTTTTTTCAGGCAATGCCGGAAGTGCCTGGCATGGCCTTAAGAGCGGCTAAAGGCCACGATGTATGGCATTTTGATGTGGCCCCTCTACCAAACTCTCAAATATTGAGGCTTTTCCCAGAGTATACTCAACGAGACAGACGCCCACTGCGAGCCTCGATGTTTGCAATCACGGCCAGTGGGTTCCGCAACATGCAGGATTGGGCAAAAAGATGTTAGACAGTAGGCCAAAGCTCGCTCTAACGAGCCTTTCAATAATCACGAAAGCTAGCTTCCGTGGCTAGCTGAGTTCCTTACCAACCGAAAGGTTGCATCTAGGGGTGTGGGGAAGGGCCCCCGGCCAGGCCCCGCCGGGTCCGTTTTGAGGTGTTTGAATGTGGTGCTTCGCACTGCTTCCGAGTGGAAAAACGGCTCCCCGATGATGCTCATGATGCGGGTTTGTTGGCCCCAAGAAGCTCCCAATGATGCTCGTGATGCGGGCTTGTTGGCTCGGATTGGGCTCCAAGACACCTCCAATGATGTTCGCGACCACGACATTCCCAACGATGCTTGTGATGTCGTGTACTTGTTCTATCTGGGGCGCCCGACCTGAAGACATTGGCTTCTAGGCATGATATACACATGTGTTTATGGTATGTTTGTGTATATGTACATATATATAAATATACGTGTGCATGAAGCTCTGATCCAACCTCTTCCATATACTGTTTTTCTACTGTTTCCGCGCTTGTTGGCTCGGATTGGGATCCAAGAGGCCCCCAATGATGTTCACGATGTGGCTTGCTAGCTCCGCTCACGCGTCGCGTACTTGTTCTATGTTGCGCGCCCGACCTGAAGCCATTGGCTTCTAGGCATGATATACACATGTACTTATCTTAGTTCTCCAATACAAAACTTTTAAACTTTTGGGGTTCTTATAGTTTAGTAGTAATCTGAAAGTTTAACCTTTTATTTCTGTGGCTATTGGGGGAGTAAGTTATGGTATGTTTGTGTAGATGTACATATATATATGTGCATGATGCTCTGATCCAACCTCTTCCATATACTGTTTTTCTACCACTTCATACTATACTAGTACTCGACTATACAGTCATATGTAGTAGCAGCTGCAGCTCGACGAACAAGAAGCGCAAGCAGAGCATGGCTTGGCCCAGTGGGTGTCACCCACATTGAGGGGGATGGTATTGGTGCTCATTCGAGGGGTTCAAGAGTTTTGGGTTTCTGTAATTGGAAGTTCAGTAGGCGTGTATGCATGCTTGCCTTCACTGGAAAAGCCTCGGTTGTTGACGCTTCTAGCTTTCGTCCCAGTCCCTCCGCCGCAAGTCTGATTAGAAGAATTGATTTGCTGCTGGAGTCGTGACGACAGTGGCACCAGGAACACTCAAGAACCCGCAGTGTTGCAGGTGATTGAACAAGCATTTCGCGACTGCATGTTTGAGAGCCGTGACGGGGTTTCCATCCGTCAAGCACAGCCAGTGGGTGACTGGCGCTCAGGCAGAATGCTCGCGCCTCACTTGGAGGAGCTGCTCAGTTGCTCTTGCGCCGCAATTTGCCGGCTACAGTTCGGCCCACTCGCTCAGTGAATTCACCAAATACTCTCTGGGAGGACATCAGCGAGAAGTTCGAAGGACGTTTTCTGAAAATGGCCCATATCTCAGTCGGGCACTACCGACCGCTTTTTCCTGATCACAACCCCAGGTGTGTTCCCCGCCGACTTCAGGTGCAGGTGGATGTCACTGACATTCCTGAGGCTGCGCGTGAATTCCGCTGCATGCTCAATGATGGGGGGGGGCTGTTGTCGTTTGACCTCCTTGTAGCGACTTTGCCCTTGAGGCGTGGATGCCGTTCCATATTTCCTGGTCTTGCGTGACGGGCATGTCGTTGAGCGACTGCTCGGGAATGAACCGAAGGCCCTCCTCGAACATGGAGCCTTACTGTTTTGCACCTGTCCAAGAGAAGAGTTGAGGAACCAGGAAGCCAACCCCCCTACCGCCCCTACCCCTTCCCCTTTTGAACAGGCCGTTGCCGAAGCCGCCGAGCGCCATGCTGCGGCCTTTGAGAAGATGCAGACAGAGCAGTGATGCCTCCACACCTGAGTGGACCGAATCTTTCCGCTGGCTGTAAAGGGCAAACGATTGCGGCCTGCTGTGGACAAAAGTAGACAAAGGTATCACGGAGGGGCAAGATCGAGGGAAAGAGCCGGAACGAGAGAAGAGAACAGCACACCGACCCCACGGCGACAGTCCGTGCCTGCAGCTCTTCCGTACTCCTTCGGTGGCCTGTGCTGCTCAGCTGCCTGGGTTGCAGGAAGCGACAGACGAGTTGAAGTCCAGGCTGCAGTCCAGCCATGTCCAGCCTAGACTTCAGCTCCTACTTTGGAGGCATACGGCAACCTTGTCCCCAGAACTTCTGCGTGCAAGCAAGTGGAGAAATATGATTCGCTCAAAGGCCCAGCACCCGACTAGGCAGCGCAAACCACCTTGGCCGCTTTCATGTCCAGGTCACTCCAGATGAGTGTGATCTGATGCAAAAGCGATACGGAGGCTAACAAAGTCCTGCAGGCACAAGGATGGCAACATTAATAATCTAGCCTTGAGATAATTGCGGAGGCTATACACGCCATGAGCCCAGACAGCCTTTGACTGCACATGCACACTCCACTCCCCGAGCACCACCTCGGGTATACTGACTACTGGCAGGCAAGGACAGTAAGTTAACGAATTCCTGACACCAGACTAAGCAAAGCTGGTCCGCCTTGCGCAACCCAGTACAGACTAGCAAGAACACAGTACAGTCCAGAACCGAAGCCAATGCAAAAATCTTCCAAAGTGTCACATCTCAGTCGTTCACGCAGCCGCGCTGCTTCAGCTGCACGGCAAGCCAGATGTTAAATCACAGTGTGGGTTCAACAAGGAGGATCGCGACGAGAATCCTGAGCAGTTCCCATGACCCTTGCACCCATCCAAAGCAGTTGATTCATGCAAAGGCCGCGAACACCAATTCTCACCAAGATTCAGGGGTCATGTGAGGAGTGCGAAGCATGGCAGCAGAGAGTTGCGCCATTAGAGCAATCTAGAGGGTCCGCAAAAGAGCACCCCCTTTGAACAACATATCGCAAGCCCGATCCCACTCTAGCAGAGTCAGAAGGCTGATGCTGGCAGGACCTGCTGGGAAGAGTCGCAGGAGATTCTTTTGCATGACAACCATCTCGATGTAGTGTAGTGTTTTTCCTTCAAGCATCAACAGCTCCACATGTCAGATCTGGACATATTGCGTGCCGTGGACAAGCACCTGTTTCAAGCAGACAAACAGATCATGGCATTGAACATGATGAAGATCTAGTTTGTTGTTTCTGTGGACACATCCTGCGGCTGTGAAGAGCAAGCACAGCATGGACGTGGCGGCCTCGCAGCAGCAGAGGGCCAAGCCGCCGTGTTTTTGCCATTGTGCCCCTTTGCAGCAGTGAATCTTCAGCTCATGACAGATCACCGAAAATGAAGCGCTGATCGAGTCGTCATTCAGGCTGGGAGCATGCATGGAAGACGTGGAGTGCGTGTTGAAAACTGTCTCCCTTAAACTACCCCGCCAACAGCAATATGTTCGCTTAACTTTGGGTGCTTGGAAACGTTGTGCTGTTATGTTAGGATATGTTAGGTTGCGCTGCAACAAGGGATACAAGGGTAGCCTCTGCTGTTTCCGTTAGTTTTCTCCTGTGTGGAACGTTGAATGCTTGCACGGGTATCGCAAAGATTGGCATCATCAAACCCTCCCCCGCTCAGAAACTCCGACTCGGAGCCGCGGTCTGGTCGAGGGAAAGTGCACTGCGTTGTCTCCGCCCCGTGTAAGGAATCGGAGGAGACCGTCATTGAAGAACCGCATCCGCGAGTCTCAGATCCCACGCTGCGTCTCACAAAGCGCGAGACTACTGGAGATCGGCATGTCTTCCCTGGGAAACTAAGAACAAACCGGTTAAAATCGCTACTGTTTGAGCGCGAGGCCCGCGAGGCATCACAACGGTAGGACTTCGGAAACCATCAGCTAGTGTCGAGGCGAACATTCGGGTGAAGAGGCCAAGCAAGCGAAATTTAGACAAGCATCAAACACTGGCCCGGAGCATCGAGCAGGGATAGGGAGAAGATTCGTGAGCTCATGGCCCGGCATGGCCGGGGACGGGGACAGGCGGCCGCCCAGGCCATAAACCGCGCAAAGGCAATCAACCGATCACACCGTTAAATGCATCTCTCAACCGAATCGATGTCCAGAGTCTGGAAGCATCGGTAACAGTCCATGGATGCCATGGCCAATGGTTACATCTGCACCTCGAGGACGTTTTGTTGCTGGCTTCTCTGCGTACCAGGAATCAGTTATTTCACATTGCAACCAAATGGCGACACGGGTTCGTGCGGCAGCCTGGCTGTATCTGTATCAGCCCTCCCATCAGGCGCTTGATAGCCTCGATCGAAGCGGAGCGTGAGAAAATGCGAACCACGTGGTCGCAAATAGAAGAGGCAAGGGCCCGGGCCGTAAATCCCTAGCCCAAAGCTCTCTCATCTCCGCGAAAGTGCAAGGAGCAGCAGGCGACCTCAGACGACCTGGCCCGGCTGAAGCTGGACACCGAGGCCTGGAAGAGAGGGTACGGACAAGAGCTGCTCGCTGTGGACATTGTGAGGAGTGGTGCCGGTCAGAGCGATCAAAGGTGTTGCTCTTAAATCGATGCATGGTGCATACATGTGAAGAGAGCAGCTTAAAGCCCGCACACAGGTTGATTGTTGGTATGTCCTGAGGGTGACCATGGGAATATGATCAATAGGTGCCCAGTGTGATTTTCCTCAGCGGTTTTAAGGTGCGCGGGATGCAAGAGGGACCTGTTCCATGAGAAGTGTATGGTGTTCTCACGTCAACACAGCAAAGGTTCGCGAAACATTGGGAAACAGCTGGGGCAACGGAATCAGAAAGGGCAGAAGAAGACTTCAAGGTTTCTCCGCGCTGATGCACCATGCCCTGTCTGATCAGAAGGAACGTCGAGTGGAAAGGTGGAAGACCTGTGCTGTCCAGTAAAAGAAAGTCTGTATAGCATCTGCCACAAAATGCCGTTTTGGTTATGCCATGTGCCCCAGACCCCATTTGGGTTCGTTCATCCCTTAGACGACCCCCTTTCACCTGAGATCGAAAACGAGTGGAAGCGCCTGGATCGGCTCCGTGAGCGGATGAGTATCCTCCCTGGAGCTTCCCGCGAGGCCTCCCAACTCGCTATGTGTGCGTCAGTCTGACGAGTGGTTTGCTGTCACGTCATGACTCGTCGCTGTTCATGTAATTCGCAAGCTCCGTATGGCAGTTGCTTGTTGGGAAGACTCGAGTAGCTTCAGTCGTGAGCCAGGTGCTCGAAATAAACTGCTCTGGTGAGTTGCTGTTCCTTCCAAAGCGGGCTCTGTGCCACATCGAAGGTCCGGAGCATGCTTTTGTTGCGAGTTTGTCTTGTCGCGTTCAGTATTCCCACCTTGAGGAAGTTACTTGAATCACATGTTCAGCGATGCCTATGTGCAGAGTGTACCCCGCGACGACGAGGCCTGGTCAGCATCTCTGCCCGAAATGATCGCAGATACTGATCGTCAGACATAGCACCTGGTAGTAGAAAGTAGAGAGTGTCGTCAGGGCAGATACTTCTTGGACTTCAATCCGGTCTGCTTTGGCATCATTGTGGACTGGCTCCGACAGCTGGAGGCTGCACCGGAAAGAAGCCTGGAGGGCTTCGCCATGCTTCTATGCCTGTTGGTCCTTGGTCCGCTAGTGATTTCAGGACAAGCCTGACCTGCCGGTTCCGCGAGTGCCGGATCCTGAGACGTTGAGACTTTGTGCTTCTGAGCCTCGATCGGCTCCTGCATCTTCGGCTCATCCAAATGTAGGCCAGAAAGCCAGCAGCTGAACATGGCACTGGCCCCAGCGTGCTTGCTTGTATCTCCGACTGGCTACTGGCTACCACTTAATCTATCGTCGAGCGCCACGACTTTGGCCCATACCTTATTCTGTTTTCGAAGAGCCACCGAGGATTTGTTGGCTGAAGCGCTGAACCTGAGGCAGTTCATTTGCACTGTGCTGAGGCAGTGTCCATGCGTGCATGTGTGTGTGGCATGATCTGAGAGAGAGGCAGCCGAGGGAGGCTAGCTTTTGTCGTCAGGGAGAGAGAATGAATTCCCAGCACCCCTGCTGTTTAACATTGATGTGCAACTCTGAGCAGGACTATGGTTTCCACCACTGTCGTTCACAGTAGAACTCGCTTGAGGGGGGCTAAAAGCGAAGAAAAAGCAAGGGCCGCATCAATTCAGTAGAATCTCAACCTTCTTGGCTAGGGCACTTGGGAAACTGCACTGACAGGAGACTTCAGTAGGTCTCCCTACAACCTCTGGAGTAATGAGGAAGCAGAGACAGGGCGAGGCGGTGCATCTGCTCACTAGTGCTCTTCAGCCCGAAAGAAAGACACGGAAAAAACTCAACACAGGCGGTTTCGACCTACCTGAGCATGAATAATGAGATTAGAATCATCAGTGTCATCAGTGTCATGAATTGTGTGGGCTTCATACGTCATAGCTTCCCTTGAGCTACCGCCCGTCAGCCCTCAAGACGTATGGAGACCGGCCACTTAAAGTCCCAGTCGGAGCAGCCATCGACGAAAGCAACCGAACAATTATCTCAGGGTTTGCATCATGTCTACTCATTCAATGCAGTCGAGGGACAGATGATGATGTCGTGCTAAGGCGGGAATTGCATCAAGCTCCAGCATGCCACATCGCTGAAAGTGATACTTGGCTTGAGCTGGAGAGTGTGCAACTTTCATCTTTTCCTGCAAGTAGACGAGTGCCCAAAGTCCAGTCTCGCAGAGCCCAACTTGCCGACAGCAAGGCGAGGCAATGTTGTGGAGGCGACGCCAAGAAATGCATTTTTGCTTCTGAAGTAGACATGCCGGACTTATGGCACAGCTTTGTCCTGCTGTTTGTTCCATGCTGTTGTGGCCTTCGACAAGAGTGAAGCAGTGGCGTACGCTCAAAGCCGCAGGCAACTCACGCGGGTTGGCAAGTGATCTCCGCCGAGCATCCCTTGAAGATGTCAGGCCTGGGCCTGGGTCACCAGGACAGAAACGCAGCGCAGCTGTTGGTCTTGCCTGGCCCAAGGCAACTCCTTTTTCGAGGTGAGGATCCTCAAAAACCCTGATCCGCCGCACACTCAAAGAGGGAACTCCATCTGCGGCGGCAAACCGGATTCAACAGCCTAAACCGTCTCTACAATGACGAGAGAACTCACGCACCGTTGTCTCGGGATGCTCACCCGTGCAGCTAGACCATGCTGCTCGTAGAAGGAGATACATTGAACGCCTAAGCCGAGAAACGGAACGTTTGGTCTGGAATCGGATCTTCGCACTTTGTGCTTTTGCTACAGTAAAGCCTTCCCCTCATTCGCGGCAAGATCGTAAACGCTCTGAAGCATCTTCCAACTTGTATTTTTGGTAGGCCTGTTAATTCTTCCTCCCAAACACGACCCCCCGCCCGCACTCAGCGGATCCATATTCGCACCCTTGAAAAAGGGATGGCCAGACATGTCTCCTTTCCCATCACACTGTCACCGGAGCTAGTTTGGGATTGCAAAGTTGGAAGATTCGTTGTCCATGTGTTTCGGATCTGCGAATTTGGATGCACATCTTCCAACTTTCTGGCTTTCACCATATGCCTCGACACTGTACAGTAGCCAGCATATGGTGTATGGAGTTGCTTGCAAGCGTTTTGCGGGCGGGCAAGACATGGCAATGACTTTGCAATACGCACTATTAGCTGCATCGAAGCAAGGACAACGGATCGACTTGCTATTGGCCTGTGTGGGCACATTCCATCCGGGCCTGAGGCAGGAAGTTGGGCCAAGAAGCAAGTGCCACAAGTCCAACCGAGTCTGAATATTACGCAAGGTACACAGTGTGCGCATCAAAGATGCGTTCTTGCCGGAATCTGATCAAAGCTGCCAGTGAATCTGCTGCTGCAGCTTCCCAGCTGAGGTACAATAGCAACATTGGATTAATCGGTGATGTGGTGGATGCCAACAACTGCCAGGAGAAGCCGAGCCCTGAGTTCCCAGATCTGCGGATCGGAGTCGATCAATTGCCAAAACTTAGCCTGTGTGCATTGGACTGACTTCTGATTGATTGACTGATAGCAAGGATTCAGTTCGTTGATGGCATGACCTTGGGTTGCAGGCTCAGTTTCACATGTTACAGCTTCTGTGTGCTGCTGTAATTTTGAGCTTCTTGAGCATCTGGCAACAGCTAAGGTGTTAGGCATGACATCCAAACCAGAATGACGCATTTCTACGTCAACCGGGCGCTTGGAGCACAGCTGGTCTGGCGTGGTAGTGTGCGTGCACTCCACCAACAAATGTCGGGAGTAGATGCGAGTCCAGGTCCATTGGATCCTGTGCGCTCAGAGATGATGCGCTTGAGCGGATGCCGGTGCTGCTCTGGGCCCAGAAATGACTCTCCTGTTAGTTTGATGAGCTTGGTTCGTGATTCGCGGTCTTGTCCAAGGTATCCGGTCTTTGCTCTGCATGCAGCTGGGCAGAAGATCGAGGTGCTTTATGAACCTTCATGGCTCTTTCTGCTTGCATGCCGTTGCCTGCCATTGAATGCTGATTAGGTGCATCTGCCACGGGCAGTGTAGGGCCGCCCTGCGCAGGTCGATTTTACTCTAAGCGGACCTTTGGCTTCACGACGGACACACCCTCAGATTTCGATGAGACAGGACTTTCTGGCTGCGGCGTGAGTTGTTGGTAACTTGCCTGTAGCTATTGTGGTCATGAATGACCTAATGAACGATTGAGCGATATCGAAGCTGGTCGCACCTTCAATCCCAGATCCTGTCCAGACCTAGTCCTGGCAGCGATGTCATAGTATTATAGTATTAGATTACTAGTACTGTAGCACTGCCAGTGGCACCCACGAACGGCTTTTCGCTTGTCGCACTTTGCAGCCGGTAACTCTTTATTTGCGTGTTTAACGCCGAAATACCTCGCACACTGCCGCTTGAGGCCTGATGCTGCACAAGTGGCAGAAGCTGTGCTGGGAACAGCCCTGGACGAGTCCAGTGTGCGCCTCATGGAACGTGAAGTGTGTGTTTTGATGCTGGCAGTCAGAGGTGCAGGCAGGCAAGGCCATTGGCCCTGTGCATTGATGCACTCCCTGCCAGTTGTCATCGACATGGTGCGCCCGATGTGCTCTACGGGTTAGATGGTGAAGATGGTGAAGTTGTTCGGGTTCTAGTCCCCTTTCGTTGATCGATACTAGAGACCCCTTTTCCCCTCGCGGGTTGTGCCCCTGTCCCTGTGTCATGGTCCCCTGCCGGTGTGGTTCGTTCGCGTTGCGGTTCTTCTTCTCCCTGGTGCAGAGGCGCAGCGGTCGGACACAAATCACCTCGTCGCCCGCCTGTCCGTGTGTGGTTTGGGTTTGGAATTTTGGGTGGTCTGTTTCGGGTAGAAACGACAATCATGCGGACTGCAACGACTTGCCTTCAGAGACCCCAGTTGCCACGCGAAGCGTGACACCTGACATGTCCGATCCCAGCGGCTTGTGGCATATTTGGATCGCGTCGACTCCGAAAGCGACGATTGCCACGAGCACTCGATCCCTGTGACTCAGAGTTGATGGAGGTGTTGTTGCTGACTGCTTGACGCAAGGACTGGAGAGTCACACGACTTCAACTGGTTAGTTGACGTGCGGCCGGTGTCCTTGTGCACGATTCCAAGCAATCAGTCTGCAAGGATACTCTAGATGAAGTGTCACCGCCGTCTCACCATACAAGTATCACCTTGCATGCAGAACACGCTGCATCTGCTCGCTGCGAAGACAGCCGTCCGGCCCTGGAGCTCATGGAGATGAGATGCAAGCATGTCCGAAAGACTGCATCTGCATGTCATGCTACAGAGGCACTTGCTGTTTCTTTGGAGTTTTGCAGATATTAGTTCTGGTTATAACCTCAGCCCCAGCTGTAATGCCCACATAAGTGCAGTTCTGAGATACAGTGTTTCGGCGAGGCATTGGTTGTCACCGCCTCAATAACTAGGCAAGCAGGAACCTGCCTTCGATGTTCGCCTCTTCTGTGCAGACCCCTGGCTTTCCAACAGTTTCTCCTGACGGCTCCTTGAGGTGATCCGCAATCTCCTTGATTTTTCGTGTGCAGCACAACGGCACCCGATATTCTCCGCTTCAGGCGGCGCATTGCAGAGGCATGGCTCATTATGGCTCGAAGACTTCGCATCGGAACATGTCGCAGCATGCTGCCGCGGTTGAAAACTGCAGACTTTGTCAGTGAGATCTACAAGTGACACACTCCGCACTTCAGAAACATTTCCTTCTAGATACTGAGATGAAGCGGCGCCCTTTGCGCCCCAGCCTGTGCTGATGCCTGCGAGCACAGATGCCCCGAGTCCGGCCGGTCGCAGGTCACTCAACGTCATTCGGTGACTGGGTGGACAACATTACCTGGCTGCAGAAGTGCATGGCGATGTTGTCGAGCATGACGTGCACGACGTGTGGAACCAAAGCTCACAGGTACATGCAGTCTGTTGGGTAGCTACAGTCTGATGGGTATCGCCAGACTGTGCCTGCGCAGCACATAGGCTGTACGTCTTGTCACTGATGAGGGCACTCCAACAAAAAGCACTGTTCGGTTCTTGGATTCGATCTCTAGGGTGGCGATGCGGAAAGTACTGCACGTATGAACTGTACGGGCAATCATCCGAGCAGACCTGATTTGATGAGGATGCATAGGCAATCCAAAAGCCTGAAGAGAGCTAACATGTGACTTCGCATGGCATGTACAGAGTCTCGCATAAATGGGGGCTTTCGCGAAATGCTGCTTTCAGGGGATGTGCACATACCTGTGGGAGAACTGATATGAGACTTGGAACGATGGCAAGAAATATTCCATCCTGATCAACTGAGCGGGGACAGCCTCTCTCCTCCAGACCACTCTTCCTCTCTGTCTGTCTGTCTGCCTGTCTGCCTATCCATTTATGTACAAGTCCGTGAACGAACTAGCTGTCTCACCATCTATTTGTTTATCTAGTTATCTCCCAATATATGTATCTATGTGTCTATCTATATCTACCTACCTATTCATCTATTAACCTATCTAGTTAATCCATCCGTCCATTTCATTCATCCCAGCATCCCATCCGAATGCCATCCATCATCTGAGCCATCTATCTGCCTAGATCTCTCGATGTGTTTGTCTGTGTGTGTGTGTCTGGATGCATGATAGTGTGCACATGCATGCATGCATGCATGCATGCCATCTGCATATGTTGGTTAGCACAAGCACGTTCGGTGGAAAGTCGTTACAGACGTGTTGACTGTGACTTTGTGGTAAGGGGAGGAGCCATGGGAAAGCAAATCAATAGTGGAACAGAGACGTGCTGCCGAAGCACCAGCTAGATGCCGAAGTCGCAGGATTTCTGGCCAACTGGGTGCCTCACGAACACTTCAACTGAAGTGAGAAGCCTTCATGCAAGACTAGTCCTTGGCAGCTCATCGTATATCGTTCCTCAGATGTCAGAACACTTCCAACAAGCAGCCAGCTGAAGACATGTGACCGATACAGTTCAGAATGTGTACCAGCACAGCTACCTGGGACCACAGGTCAGGATGCACCTTCTGCATCGCGACCTCTAGAGGCAAGGTTGCCTGAAATGTTTCCTGTGCACAGAAATGCTGGAATGACGTGCTTACTGACATTTGACAGCCATATCCCTGCCTGTGGATGAGTGAGAAGGTGATTGCATGGCTTGCATGCGAACTATGTTGGTGTGGGGCCGGCATGGGCGGTCTTTGTGTGCGTCTTTGTTTGCGTTTCGCTGTTTGGCTTTGACTGCGTTTCCTTGTGTCTGCAGGTCTTTTCTTTTCACGTAGCTTTCGTCTCCGCCTTCATTCTTCGAGGTTTAACATCAACCCCCTTGTGTGAGTGGCATTGGACAAAGCTCTGTTGATATGATCATCCTGTCTGTTTCTGGGCCCCACTAGTCAAATCCTTCATGGATCCAGGCGGAGATTTCTGGGCCTGATCCGGGTTGCTTGGATCAAATTCATGCCAATTTATCATTCATGGCATGTACACTCTGGGAACAAAACAGTGTGTGTGCAGTGAAGCGTCACCGTACACCGTGCTTCTAGAGTCTTCTAGAGGCTTTGCTCTCTAAGGGCCGGAAGTATGCGAGGTGCCCGAGGAGGAGGGACCACAAGAAGTGGAGCCATCAACAGCAGCTTCCAGGCTACGCGACAGGGCCCCTAAGACGGGCGACAAGAGGAAGGAGAGGAGCAAGAAGGACAAGAAGGAAAAGCATGGAAAGAAATGGAAGAAGGAGAAGAAATCCCGGAAGGCGGGAGAAGAGGAGGAGCAGCCGCAGAGCATCCAGGCCGCGCAGGCATGCCGGGGAATGCAGCAGGCTTACTGAAGCAGCGGTATAGGCCATGCAAGCAGTGATAAGTAGTGATATGATAAGACTCTCATTGAGGATGCCTGGCCGACTTGATGTGACTAGATGTATCTGAGGATTCGCACCCGTGAACTCTGAAAATTACCTCGTAGCGTTTTCTAATTCGGGGGCCCTCTTTAGTAGTTTTCACCCGGGACGGCGTGCAAATGTGTTTCTTGGGGTCTGAGATCAATTCTGAAGTTCATGCCAAAGACGCCATTTGCGCACGAATGTGTTGGGGTAGAGCAGAGGCGGCAAGGGTCAATGCTTCCCAAGCCAGTAAAGCATAGCGGAAAGGAGTCAGACAATGTGCAGACTAAGATCGGGAGTTTTTAGGCGGGGTTTCCTAGCCTTCGCTGCCGCGAATGGCTTTGCCGCAGTGATCCAGCGAGCAAAACCGAAAAGTTCAAATCGTCAGCGCGCGCAGCCACCGCGCCCCCGATTCGCAACGGCACGGCTCTCCCCCTACTCTGCCCCGACTCTCCCCCGACGCTCCCCCGACTCTCCCCGACTCTCCCCGACTCTCCTGTCTTGATTTCCTGTTACACATGAGTGTGAGGTAGCCTGCCCCCGACTCTCCCCGAGCATTTTCTCCAAGTGTCCGGCTTTCTGCGCGAATGGTATTTTTGTTGATTGATTTTGGTTTGCCGCGCGAATTTCAATGATTTTTGCGGATTTCCACAAATTGCTGGCTTTTCCATTTCGCGCGCTGGAAGGCTTCGGAGTTTGCGGTCGCAGAGTAGTAATTACAGAGCCGAGAATTAAAGGTTTTGCAGTCAAGGACCGTGACTGCATGGTTTCGCTGTCTGTAGCAGTCCAACTTTTCGTAGCGCAGAAGTGCTCGTTTAGGTAGGCCGGACATGTTTGGTTGTTTGTCCCGGCGAAAGTTGCTAGCCCTCTTAGTGTAGTCCGGCCTTGCACATCGGTTGCTGTCGCTGCCCTGCCGTGGCAAGGCATTGGATCTTGACGAGCTTCTAGCCGGCAGCGACCTTTTCGCCGGCTCCGCAGTTGGGATTCGGATGCCACTCTCTCTCTCTCGCTCTCTCTCTCACTCTCTCAACCGCCGGCGACGCCGTGCGCCGATGAGCTCGACGTCCATATAAATGCTAACAGTCGGCTGTACCAGTTCTATTCACAAGCTTCTTGGAGGAACAAGATTCTGCATTAAAGACACATGCTGCTCCGGGTTTTGCCGCTACATACATGGGCATGGATGATGATGATGGTGATGATGATGACGATGACCATCATGATGATGATGTTGCTGTCGCTGCGGGCGAGTGCTCATTCCTGTCAATCCGACGCAGACATTTGTCTTTCAAGTTGGAGGCGGCAATACATGTCGGAGTTGCATTCGTGGTGAAATGTGTACATCAACAGGAGTGCTTCAGACAGCTTTACTTTCTCTGTTGCGGAATCCTTGGTGAACCGTGAAACCAAGCATGAGCTGCGGTGCCGGGATCCCAGAGAAACAAGTTACGACAACGTGCACCGTCTGACAGAGAGAACAGACCATGCAGTGATATGCAGTGATGATGAAGACTGGAAGGCCAGCAGTTGGAAAGCGTTCCTTGGCAGCGCCACCATTGGCTTGGTATCCGCGACCGCCCGCGCCTGTGTTTGATCACTTGATCACGTGCGATAGGCATCCTTGAGCAGCCTGCTTTTCGCAGGCCGTTGGACTTGCTTTGAACAGGCCAGCGCCCTAAGCATGCAATGCCTGCAACAGAAGCAGTAAGAGCATACGTGAATGGCGCA